TTTGGCGCTTGATCTGGTTGAGCTCTTCCTCCTCCTCATTGCCATCCTGGAGATGCTGGATGATGAAGTCGGCGAAAGCGCCCTTATTCTTCACCAACTGATCAAATGTGCCGCTCTCGCTAATCTCGCCCATTTTTATCACGTAGATACTGCTGACCTGGGGCAAGAATGTGACGCCATGGGTAACCAGCACGCGTGACTTGCGAGCCAACAAGCCCTTGGGTCCGATCACCTCCTCGAAAATGTGCTTGCCCACATGGGAGTCCACGGCACTCAGAGGATCGTCCAGCAGATAGAGGTCGGCATCACTGTACACGGCACGGGCCAGCGAAATACGCTGCTTCTGACCACCTGATAAATTAATGCCTTTCTCACCGATTTCCGTGAGATCTCCCGCCGAAAGGATGTCGATATCGGCACGCAGGGCACAGGCGTCGATCACCTTGTTGTAGTGCTTTCGGTCGTAGGGTTTGCCGAAGAGGATGTTGTCCCTCACCGTCGCATTCTGAATCCACGCCTGCTGCGGTACATAGGCCAACTTGCCCACGGTGTTGACAACGCCCGCAAGTTTCTCCATTTCGCCGAGGAAGGCCTGCACAACCGAGGATTTGCCGGAGCCCACGGTGCCCACTAGAGCCACCAGACTGTTCTTGGGCACCTCGATGTTGATGTTGCGCAGGGTGATCTCATCGCCCCAGGAAAACTCGCCATTTTCAATGCTCATGGGGTGGGCTGTATGTATAATAAATATGTTAACAAATATGCTATACCAAATTATTGAATATGCTTACGTTTGGAGGGATCGTGGAGAACGCTGTTGGGATCGAGTTCCTCACTGTTCAGGAACTTATTTATACGCTTCACAGAAACTTGCGTCTATTCGTTCGCACATAAAAAATGGGAAATCGATTAGAATGGTTTGAGCAGTAGGAGTTATTTTAATACACAGAATATGTTAGTAAAAGGTTTGGGAAAGGAAAAGTATGATGGGCAGATGGGAAAAGATATTCTAATCCGAAATTGGATGAATGAGGAATATCCTCGGTCTGCCGAGGTTTTAATATACCCCTGCAGAACAAACAAAATGAAAGGGCTAATGTCTTGGGATATGTAAGTCAAATTAATAAAATAATAAAGCAATTTTAATAAGTGATATAATGGGTTTTAAAGAACAAAATTGGCGATTGATTATATATTACTTACAATTTTTTACAAAAACGTAGAAGACATAAAGATAAAAGGTTATTTTTGATTAGCCCTATATAACTGAGAATAATTTATTTATACCTATAACTACCTGACATGAAACCCTTCTTTTCTTTTTGAGCACACGGACGAATAATCATGTCTTCATTTCAACTATAATTAAATCCCCTGTTATTGCCCTCTGCAAGGGCATATTTTAAAAACCCAAACAAATGGTTTCTATTGAAACTGATGGAAAGGCCCCCACCACCAGATAAATTACAAATTGGAACTGGTTTGGTTCGGACAACTTTAAATCCCAGGTGAATATGTAAATTTAAGTTGTAAAAAAAATGAATGCAGGGAATCAATGAAGGAAGAGGTAACTTTGGTTAGAGGGATATTTTTCGGGATACATTTGGTTGGCTAAAAAAGATTTCAAATTGAGTAAACAAACATAAATCACAATCACAAAACGGCACAAAACGGCCGATCACAGTGGGGCCGGGGATCAGCACGAAATAGATAGAAAACATAATCCCTCAGCCCCACTGTGATCGACTAAAGTGGTAGTATTTGGTATTGCAATCGAGCGTAACTTACTTGCACCAGGTTGGTGATCAGCATGGGCAACATTGTTAGCGGAAAACGCAGAATGTTGAATAATGATAATGAGACAAAGGTTTTTGTGGCATCAAGCACGTTATTTTCATCGATTAAAACGTAAGTGGCGAATGTGACTAATGAAACCTAAAAGATAATACACAATATCGTTTAAGGCGTTGCTAAAATGGATGTTCTTGATCCTTGTTTTGAAGTGGATGGATTAAGAGGAGGCGGGGATGCACCATAGCCGAAGAGGTTGATAGTCCATCATCATCGTGGGCGCAGTACCTCGGCTATGTCAACACTCAGCATGGGCAGGATGGTCAGCGGGAGTTTCATGAGGTCGAAAAGGGCGATTGAGACTAACACCTTCTCGACCGTCAGCTGATTCGCCTCGCTGGTCAGCACGTAAGTGGCGAACGTGACCAAGGAAACCTTTGATTGTTTGGACACGAAGTACATATATTTGCCAGATTAGTCCAATGAAACACGTCCAACTCATCTCGGTCAGCTGTAAAGAAATCTCGGAGGACTCAGAGCCCTGCGGGGCTGGCATATCTTACCAGGAAGGGGGCGCAGGACCACAGGAACGAGGTGCCCGCGTTCAGATAAGCGGTGGATCGCAGAGTAGCGATCTCCTTGTCACGGATGTCCAACACTTGCTTCTCGAAACTCGGCTCCCAGGCGTACAACTTGAGGACCTGTTGATGTTGTAGACTTTGTTAATGTTTGGATTGGCAAAGAAGATAAGCGGGCAAGCGGAAAGAGAAACACGGCAAATACTAATCCCGACTTAAGTCAGTGGGTCAATGGGATTAGTCTTTAACCGAAATATCAGGTAAAAAGGTAATTATCTTTTATAGACATTACGAAACAGCTTTTTTAATGTACTCTTAATTCCAGGATCACTCACCTTGATGCCACTTAGGACTTCGTTCATCAGCTTAACACGCTCATCCTTGTACTTCATCTGTCTGATCTGATAGGTCTTGATGCGGCTGGCAATTACTCCGTTCACGGGGATAAGGATAATCATCACAGCCAGACCGGCCAAGACAGACGGTCCCAACTGCTGCCACAGGAAATACAGTGCCAGGGCGATCTGCAGAGGCGCCGACCAGATCATGTTCAGGTAGGTGGTCAGCTCCATGAAACGCTGGGCATCCACGGCCATCAGGTTAACGATCTCTCCCACGGTGGACTCCTTTTTGGTGGAGTTTGAAATGCGCAAAGCCTTGCGGTATATGGCGTTGATCAAAGCTGTCCTGATACGCAGGCCCACGATGAACATTCGGTGGAAGTACTGACCCAGAATAAAGGTCTGGAAAGCGGCCAAAATGAAAAGCAGGACGGCATACATAATGCCCTTCCACTCGGGCTGCGGATCTTTTTCTTGGGCTTCAACGAAGCTAATGATCAAACTTAAGACCTGCGGCTGGGCAAATGTTAGGACATCGGTGAACAATTTCATCAGGGAGCCGAACAGGAAAACGCCACCGAAGGACTTGTAGATGGGCGGCATAATACTGGCCATGCCCTTCTTGCGTCCATTCTTATCGCCATGAGGATTCTCAAAGGTCACGTTGCCATTGCTGAATTGCGCCTTCGGTTCCACGCGGGCTTTACTCCTGTAGTTCTTGCGCACGTTCTGGTTCCAATGGTGGGCAAAGATTGGCATCACCTCGGAACAGCTGTCCTGCGGTCTCAGGTCCCACAGATCCTTCTCCTCTAGCGGATTGCGGTAGCCCTTGAGGGCCATACTGTCGAACCACTGGTAGGTGATCCTATTGAGGAAGCTGGCCGAGAGCTCGGGTATCTCGTTCTCTCCCCTCTGGTACTTGGTTTGCTTGGGCAGACCGTCCGCAAAGCAGTTAAGGATCAGCATGATGCAGGAGAAGGTGAAAAAGACAAAGAAACTGGCAAACTGGTACTCCTCCCAGGAAAAGTCGTGCTGCTCCGTTTCTTGAGAGTCAATGATCTTCTGGCGATTCGAATCTAGCCGAACTTCCGTGCGGCAGCGTGGAATCGACAGCACGGTCAGCAGAAACCAGAACAGGAATTGACATCCCGTGGTCTGCACGCCATACTTGCGATTCAGCGGGATGAATATGAAGATCAGCAGGAAGGTGGCGAACTTGATAATGGGACCCCACACATCCAAATCGTAGAGGGGCAACTCGGAGTCGCCGCCCTTTTTGATCAGGGCCATTATCAGATCCAGGGCAGTGATGACCAGCAGACCTAGGTTCACCAGGGCCTTACTCACGCTCAGCTTGTTCCAGGGTATGTTCCTGTCCAGACTCGCCTTCAGGTAGTAAAAATCGAATATCACGAACAGCCAATAGAAGGCGCAGGGCGTCCAGACCAGCACCGTCTGCTCAAAGCACGGCGTGAAGTCGGGATTGTTGGTCCACCATGTCTCCGTTGCGTTCTGTTCGGCGGATAAACGGAAAATCTATAGTTCCCCGAGCTCAGGCCAAACCATGGACGCACTTACCCAGAATGTGGAACCGCAGAATTCGTCCATCGGCGAACTTGTGTCCTCCGCCATGGTCGCTGGTTTTTTCGGCCACCTCTTCCACGTGCAATTGGGTTATGTGTAATGCTATAACGGGCGATGTGGTAACTGTAATGCCGAAGGGAAGCAGTTTTATAGTTTTCTATATTTTCTGACAAACAGCTGTTTCTTCCCAAGCCGCATAACTACAACAACCGCTAATCACCGCAGTGGAAAGTGGTGTGTCTTTACAGTGGTATTTTTCTTGGTATATACAGTGTCCCACTGTATTTTGTACAGTGAGTTTAGAAGCGGAGAATGTGCTCAAAAATGTTCGATATATTTTAGTAGTAATTTAATTTTTTATAAATTAATATTTTGACATATTAATTATATCAATTAGTTTATATGACTATCAACTAAAATCAAAACAGTTTCGTTATTGAAGATTTTTGAAATCCGAAAATCTTTGGCTGAGATACATGGAGATATTACTTTTTTTTAAATAAAATGATTCTTCCAATTTTCTTTTTAAAACATTGATAGTTCCAACTATATTACTTTTTGGGTTAGTCCTTAAATACAAGAAAACCGCTATGTTAATTAAAAGCTGGTTTGATGGAAACTTTTCCGTGAAGTTCTCTTTATTCTTGTACACGCGATAGTTTTTGGTATTTAGTGGCATAACAGTATTTTCCTCTGATGGTCACTCTATCACATCTTATTATTTCAAACGAGTTGACAGCTCTGTTAAGCAAAATAAAAAAATTTTGTTTTCTACGAGTCGCAAAGCTTAAAAATAGTTTTTCATTCGTTTTACTCGTGTCTGGCTGTTTAAAGCGCGATACAAAATGGCACGTCGCTCCAATTTCATTGAGGGCAACGACAATTTTCGCGAGCAGAACTTGCGATTTGTGCGGGTAAGAAAAACGCGATGAACGTTGTGCGGTGTGGAGAAGCACATTAATTTGTATTTATTAACGCAGAACGAGTTTGAGGACAACATCAACCAGTTCTTCGGAGGTTCGAATCCAGGCGGAAGTGGCCAGCAGAAGCCTCCACCGCGGGACTCGCTAATTGTGCAGCCGACTGCAGGTGAGTGGCGTCCATTGCTGTAACCGGAATTTCGCAGGGCACTGAAATTGCGAGCGGTAAAACGGAAAAACCGCAAATTCTAGCCGGCTAGGCATGACGACAACTTTATGGTCTATAACACTTATGGTTGTCGCTATAATCTCTTACGAGTGCTGAGCCATGTCAGCTAGATAATCATCTCACGTCGCTATCGATTCCGCATGAGGCCGGTACAGTGAACCCGCGATAAGGCGAACGTGAAACAGGCGAGCTTGCACACGCGATATCACATATATTGACATGTATTCTGATAATATAGTAGATCTTATCAAAAAGCGACGGGGAGTGCGATAACACAAAAATTGTCCCTGCCAATGCCCTCAAATGCTAATCGTTTCCAAAAAAGTATTAAATTTAGTATGCAAATTGGTAAAATAATTTTAACTCATTTAGTTTTCTAGAGCATAACTTATTTGTTGCTTTGCCAAACAATATACAGTGAAAATATTTTTCTTAGTCCAAATTTCTAATGAGAATACAATTTTATTTCGTATTTAAACAAATATATTCAGCTGTTAGATTTTTTTATAATTTTGTTAAGTCAAAATTTACATTATTAATATTTATAAAAATCTATTCTTTGGTAAATAACAAACGTCCATTCGTATTATCAGGAGAAAAAAATCATTTCAGCGAATGTGTGATCCAACCGAATTAATTAATAGATAAGTTCCAACTAGGGAATGTGGCTTTTGAGAGTTTGGAAGGTTGTGCAGTTTAGTTTGTAATCTAACCCCCTGTAATAGTGTGCTATGTCCAGATAAGTGTTTACATGCCCAGGGCACTCCGTGGAAGGTCTCATCGCACCCACTTGAAACGATAGTTTATTGTCCAACAATCATTGTCAATGACAAATATTCAAGGAAAACTAGTTTTCCCTCCTCGAAGATCTAACTAACAAAAAGAGAAGAAAGACAAGCTCGGAGCTAATCTTGACCGGAGCCGCGAAATTCGTTTAAGGCGTTGGGCTAGTCACATTTTATGGGCGCCATAAACTTGTTTGCCCGCTTACGCATGTGTTTTAAGCATTCGGCTTTAGATAAAATTCTAGCACACTAGAAACGGGTATTTTAAGTTCAATATAATTAATGGCGAAACCTGTTCCCGCAGCGATTATATAAGCACAACAATTGATGGACGAAAACCCCCTGCAAAGTAATTTTCAATTGCACAAAATGTGAGTTGTTTTGTCTTTGGCAAAATTTCTCTTTAAATACGAAAAGCGCGAAGTCACGATGAGATGCTAAGCGAAATGGAAACGAAATCTCTCTACTGTACTCTATAAAAGAGAGGGCTTTTGCTCTGCTTATTTGCTTTGGATTTTACCAGCCGGCATAAATTGTTTATGCGCCTTTCCTTGCACCGACAAACAAACGTGATTTATTTACAGAATATTAACGACACTTGACAGGGGCTGTCTTTATTAATACAGAAAGATAAGGCCGACTGCCTTTTGCTGAGTGCAAACTCCGAAAAAGGAACTTCCTTGTAGCGAAAATGCTTTTTAATAGCAGTTCCTTATCAGGCCCCCCGGCTGAACCTTATCGGTCCCATATACTAGACTCTTCCATTGTGTTTGTCGTTACTCTAGTTATGAATTGCAGTTTATAATCCTTATATTGTTGCTTATCGCACACTCGGTTGCTCTAGTTGCTGCTTCATCTCCTTGAAATCTCGGGGCTCTTTTTTTTTTAACTCACTATTGTCGCTATGTCGAAACTATAGAACACCTTCTTTCAAGGCCCGTGACGTCAGCATAGTGGTTACAGTGGAGCCCACGAGGCAATTAGTTTCTATCGCCGTGTAATTTCATTTGAATGAAACAGCCTTGCGCACTTCAATTATAAATTTTTTTATCAATTAAATAATCGCTCTACAAGCATGACAAAACACTAATGCTTATTATCAAACAGTTCTGATAGTGAATCACCTACTTTGAGGAATGTTTTCGCGGGATTCTCTGGATCTGTTTAAAAATTTCACAATTTCAGGCAAAGAAATTTACGCACCCACAACGAAAAGCAGATAAATTTCACATAGATACAAACACTCACACTTGTTCCGCTTTAGCGGACTGCGGCAACAAAAACCACACTGGACGGTATCGATGCGACTAAAATGTCACTTATAATTACCTCTGCGTTGAAAAAAGTCGGATCGGAGCGAATAGATTTGAATCGACTCGACTCGGAGCGGTTGGGATCGGTTTTGGATGGAGGGCAGCAGCAGAGCACAGAATATCGACGGACAACCGGCTCGTTACGAGCTAAATGGGCAACTGAATGCGAGCCAAGCGCGGTGAACAAACTTATTTGTTTTACGTTTGCGCGCACAAAACAACAATGAGATAATACCCGCTGAGAGGGAGAACACAAAAATCAAGAGCAAATGTATACACAATAGAAAACGTTTGACTTTGCTCTTTTTTTTTGCCACCGATCAATTAAAACCCAGGCCTTCAAGGCCCGACTCTCACCCAATAGGGCTATGTTTGGCCAGAAAAAATCGCTCTATCAGATACAGGTAGATAACGCCGCTCTCTTCCACGTTTTTAAGTGGTATACGAACACTATGGGCTTTCCGGCTCTGGTGAAATTATTTCAACGCGTGTAAAGCACAGAAACTTACGAAAACCCCAAGAGTGGCGCACTCTTAAGCTTTTTGTTGTCACAAGAGCAACAGAACACCTAGCTGATAACGATATCAAAAAGCGTCTAAGCAACTGGCGTACTCCCCGTGTTTTGGTTATAAGGATGAATTACTATTAGTGTAGATTTTCGTGCGCGCAAAGGTTTCTTTGCGTTTTATCAATTTTTTTGTTTTGATTTAATATTTATATTTTATACATAAGTATGTCAATGCAGTGCTCGCTCCGTATATGGAAAAATATACTAAGAAGTTTCTAGAAGTCAAGAGAAATTAGTCTGAATTTTCAAAACTCTATAAATAAAATTGATAGTATTGCCAATCTTATCGGTACGAGTAAATGTTTAAATTAAAATACTAGATAATGGCATTAATTCGTTAATAGATTAGCGAAAAACACCAAACATCAACATTAGTCAGCAATTTGACAATGACTATTCGCAATAACAATTGATTAATTTGTTTTTTTTATTATTTGTAGTTTATTATTATTTTGTTTTAATTATTTAAATAATATCAGCTGTTTTATTTTTGTTTCCTATTCTTAAACTTATAAAAACTTTCCAGCGAGCACTGCATAAAGTGTCAATATTGTCATGAATAGATTGACGTGTATAATAGCTCTAACCCCAAACGTGTCTGCTTTTTTAAATTTCTAATTTCATGTGGTATGAAATTAGGAAAGAACGAGATGGACAACCGCCGGCAGTTTCTACGGGAGCTGGGCGCCAGTCGGATGTTGGCCAACGCCCTGGCACAGCGCACCTTTAAGGTGCCCAACTTCAACCTGCGCCACTTTCAGCGCCAGAGGTTCCGCCTCAGCGTCGAGCTGGGCGACAGTCGTCAGGACGTGGTGGACAAGGAGGTGCTGCGTGCCATCGGGGAGGCGGTGGAGAACCAGGTCGACGCAGAGTTACGTCCCCGAACCCCATCGCCGCCGAGGAACATTGATTGGCACAACATCAGCAGGGAAAATTCGCAGGAGAGGATTGATCGATCGCGTCCGAGGAATCGGCAAAGGGAGGACAACTTTCAAGGACGGAGGGACAACAGTCGGGGATTTCCAGTGCATCGAAATGCAAATCCTCAAGAGTTTAACCACAATAAAAGAAGTGATTCATTCAATCAGAATAACCGCAGTGCAACTCAGCAGGACGTAAATCGCAATAATCGTAATGCGAATCCACAGGAATTGTATGGCAATCGAAATGCAAATCCAAATCGTAATGCTAATCCTCAAGAACTTACTCGCTGTAATCGAAATGCAGATGAGTTGACTAGAAATGAGTATTCTCATCCGAATCCGCAGGAATTTAATCGATCTAACAGAAATGCAAATCCGCAGGAATTCAATCGATCTAACAGAAATGCGAATCCGCAGGAATTCAATCGATCTAATAGAAATGCGAATCCGCAGGAATTCAATCGATCTAATAGAAATGCGAATCCGCAGGAATTCAATCGATCTAATAGAAATGTAAATTCCCAGAACTTAAATCGTAATAATCTTAATGATGAATTTCATCGAAATAATCGAAATGATGAATTTAATCAAAACAATCATATTGCGAGTCCGCAGGAGCTTAATCGAAGTAATCGCAATTCGGATGAACTCAATCAAAATAGTCGCGATTTTTGTCCGGAAGAGCCATATCGTAACCATCATTATGGAAATCCACAGCAATTTAACAGCAATCAGGAACCCAGTGACAATTACCAACATGTTCAAGGATTAAATCGCAATAACAACATTCGTGGTCAGGTAACAAATGTTGGAGATAATCCCTCTAACTCAAGAAATACCCGTACAAACTACAATCGTGGGTCTGGTACTCAGGACTTTGTTCCCAATCAACAAACCAACTGGGGTCGAAATTCAAAAATTAATCAACATGGCAAAAACGTTGACAATTTTCAGTTGCCGAGAGATCGATTCGACTCACCTGATAACAACCCACAACAGCTGCGATATACTGACCAGGATATTCGTGAAATGAACGAAAACTTTGAAAATCGTGAACAACAAACCGTTCGCAATTACCAACGTATTGTCAATAACAATCAAATTACACTTTGTCGCACTGATTTGATTGAAGTCGGTCAACGAAATTTAGACGGCGACAACTTTGTGTCCGACGAACGCACCTTTATTGATGATCCACAGGATAACTTCAGAAGACCAGGCATGCGCAACCGAGAAGAACGAAACTTTAAGGGCAACCAACATAGCCTCAGAGAACATGGCACTGATGATCGTAATTCATATGAACGCGGTCGCAACTTTGTCGACAATAGGTGCCAGTTTGATCGCGAACCCGATCGTCATTATTTAAACGACGATTTCAATCAGCGGAACAACTCTTCGCGTGGCGCTGACATGCAACGCCTTCCCTCAAGGGAAGCTGACACATTCCGAGGCTCAAATAAACCCCACTTTCCGCCGAACCAGTATCAGCAAACTATGGATCGCGGATCGGGTTCTGGAGATCGATACCGCGATAACCAACAGTCGCGAGGTCTCAATCCTAACAGACCTGTGGGTCCTAACCAAATCGGACCAATTGCTGATAGATTTGCTCCAAGAAACACCAATTTAAATAGTTCAAATCAAAATGCAAATCAACCCAGAACAAGTCTCGATAGAAATTTGGCAAGGAATATTTATCCAGGTGGTCCACAACAGCGTAATATGAGTCGGGATCGAAACTCAAAACCAAACTTTATTCCTGGCGGGCCAAACCAACCAAGATTATGTCAAGATAAAAACAATAGATCCACCTCATTAACAACTCAAAATCGTACCACATATAGGAATTCAAGCGGGCCCAATCAAAACCGCCCAAATACATCAGCAAGTCAAGATCGCAAGGCAACCAGGATCGATGCCAATCAAAGCAGACCAATTGCAAACCAATCACAAGATGCAAAACCTTGTATTCCAATCCAAATAAACAAGAAGCCAGGTGCTGCACCAAACAATCGGGGACCGAATCAGAACAAGCCCAATCAGCCGGCCATCCAAACTAAGAACCTCAATCTTAGTGCATCCAGACCAAACAATCGGGGACCGACTCAGAACAAGCCCAATCAGCCGGCCATCCAAACTAAGAACTTCCATCCTAGTGCATCCAGACCTGGCCAGCAGACGAATAATGTCAAACCACAAGCACCTAAGAACAATGCGGCCATGGCAAACCCACGCGCTGGTAAGGGTTAAGCTCTTAAATTCATCATAAAAACATAACTTAGAACGAACCAATCGAAAGTTAATAGCTAACTCTCGAGTTAAACAGACTGGTTCTTCAATTTAATTTTAAAACTACACGTAGACGTAGTTTGGAATGCAAACAGACTGAAAATATATTTAATTTTAAAACCTGTCCCTCAATGGGTATATTTATAAAAAAGCGTTTACAGTCCCAAATTAATTTTGTTCTTAATTTTTTTTATTATTTGAGGAAGGGCTTTTCTGAAAAAAGCCAATTAAAAATAATCAAGAGCAAGTTTAAGTACCAAACGGTACAAAGCTGAACCGAATAAAAAATTTAATTTGTTTTCCAATTTGGAACCCTTGGAACTGTCACACTAGTTTGCATTCCTATTTGTTAAAAGCATCTACAAAATATATACAGCCATATTAAATTTTACAGGCCAAAAAAGGGAAGCGGAGGCCGCAGGGTTGGGGGCTCCAAATCAGGCTAAAAAATCTAACCCAAAGCGCCAGAGGGTGAACACCAATCGGAGCTTCATTATAGGCGGTATTCGCCTGCCCTATATCAACAACAATAGCAAGGAACTGCCACAACCAGAGGAGGAGTCCTACGCGGTGACTTTCTTCGAGCAGAAGCCCATCTACAACACAAACATTTATGCTACGGACGATGGCGCGATTTGTAAAGAGGAGGATGAAGAGGACGTATCTGAAAATGAATCTCTTGACTCGAATCGATCTGATGTTCAGTCGACTTTTAACAATCGTAACTCCAAGAAGAAGGTACGCTCCCAGTTGCGTAAAGAGTGGACGAAAGTCTATAGGAAGAATAACTACAAGGACTGGAGTGCCTGGTGGAGGGATTACAAGTGGTGCGGAAGCGAAATCAACAAAAAGCTAGAGAAGTACGGCGACCGCTCCTTGCGTCACCGCTTCATTCCCTCTTCACCAAAAGCCACCACCGAACAAGTGGTCAATCAGGTATTCAAAATGGGCCACGTGGGTCTGGAGAAGAATACCTTCAGCCACTACCGCAACATGCGTTCCATTTTCCTTTTAATGAACGAGACGTTTCTCGATAATTTGTCCGAGAAGCAAATGGAGGATTTGCAGGACCTAATCCGTGGCATTCCAAATCACTTATGGCTGTACAAAATACGCAGCATGGTCTACCTTTGGGAGAGGTACCATGGCACTCTAAAGAGTCCAGCCTCAAAAAATGTGCATAGGGCCAAGGAAATTCAATCCATTGCGCGCGAATGGAAGAATCCCGTCTTTCACTGGCTGGCCAAGCAGGCTTTTGATGAGCTAAAGGTGGGAGTGAATGTTTTAAATACCGAAAAGCACCTGGAAACAATCAGAAAAAGAAAATTAATTTGAATTACAAATCCTATTACAAAACATTAAAATGGTTTGAATATTAATTAAATATAATACAATACAGAAAAGATAACATTAAATCACTAGTATTGTTGTCAGGTGCCTTTATCTATTTATCTTTCTGAGATTCAACTAAAAACTTACATTGTCTTTATTTATAGGCAATCAGCGAGATCGCCTGGCCGGATCATAATAAAATCTATCCTGGCTTAAAAGGATAATTTAACGCGGAGCTTATTAAACATATAACTTTAAACATTATGTATATTAGATTGTATACGGAATTACAGCCAAATAAATCATGGATTTAGTTTCTGCAATGGAAAACTACGCTTGAATCACCATAAGATTGATTAGTTACATGGAACTTTGCTGAGAACAAAATCTAATATCCTTATCCGTTTCCCTTTTCTGCCTTCCCTACAGGTTTCTGCGTGAAGAGCTTTAAGTTGAATAGTGATGAGAAGTTCTTTATTAACGTGTGCCAGGCTCAGGAAGTTCCAGCACCTCAAGATGTCACCGAGGAGGAACTAATTGCCATTCTGGAATCCACTACGCCTGGCTCGTATCGGGTGCCCATGAGTATCTCAGAGCCAAGGCACACAAAGGATCGTTCCGACAAAACCGTCGATGTCTGCGACATTGCCATCAATCCAAGGTTCCTGGTCAAGATGCAGAAATCACAGTTGTTCAACAACTTCTTTCTGCAAATTGTGGCCGAGGCTTTGAGCGAAAAGTACAATGTGCAGCTCAACATGGATAAGACCATTATCTTGAACAATCGCAAGTTTATCGGCTCTTTGGTGTCCCATCGCGTACGCAATGATGATGTTCAAAGGGCTCAGCCTGTGTCTGGAGGCCCAGCAGCTATTACCAGCCAGGATCAGGCTGCGACACCAGACAAGTCTGGAAAATTAGTCCAGGAGATTAACGAAAAGGATGCAGCGGCCATAAGGAAAAGCTTCCAACTGGCACCCACAAATCCTGAGTTGCAGTACAAACTTCGCGCTCGAGTTCGAAACGATTCTGTTGATGAAATCCACGCTGAGATTTACCTACCAAATTGTGTAAGCTTACAGGCGCAAATTACATTACTATAAACTTGTTAGAAAAGGAACCTAATCGAACCTTTTTTCACACCGTAGGTTTCTTCGCAGGAGGTTAGTCTAGATGTTGGCGAGGATCGTATCCTAGTAGAATCCCAAAAGCATGGCTATGTTTTTGACAAATTTGTGAATTACCGCCTGCAGCAAGATCGTGCCCAAGCTTTATTCGATAAGACCAGCAAGGTAACCGACTGGGATTCACAATGGAAATCAAATCTTTATAATTTAGATGTATTTCTTTGTTCTTTCAGATGCTCCAGATCCGCATCCCGGTTTTTTGTAACTGAAAACATAAATATATCATAGTTCTTATTCTTAATGTAACAAATCATTTCCAGCGTGATTGTTAATAAATAAAATAAAATGTCCACGTTACCAATTACACTGTATTTATTAATTTTTCTAGCAACTTATATTCACCGTAATTCTTGTCCAAGATTGTATGGGTTTATACTACCTAATCCTACTAACTTTGGATACTTAACTGAATAGAGAATCGGACTATTCTAAGAGTACTGAGAATACACGGATAAAGAAATACTAAAACCGATAGTTTATTTTTAAACTTAATTTTTTTAGTGCCTATTTGCCTTGGTTGGGGCTGCCAATAAAATGCATGTATCAATCAAATTAGACTTGGAAAATGTTGTCGAAATTTATTTAATATCGCAACTCGCGATCGCCGTTAAAAGTTAAATTGTGACTTTTTGATTAAGATTTCCTCACAGAGGAATTTTAATTTAATCTTGTGTTATGTATTTTTAAGTTTACAAAGTTGTTTTAGGCCAAGGTCTCGCTTGAGATGTAGTACACCTTGAATCGTTTTACAGGTATATTTTAAATAATAATCAATATTAATTTTGCTCCAAAATAATGATTATTTTATTATAAATCAAAAATCATTATTTGCTATCCCTGGTTTAAAATTAAAATCGGTCAAACCTTCAATCAATCAATACGATATTAAATAAAACAATAGTTTGGATAAATGCGGCTTATAACCGGTTTGCCAAGCACAGGGAAAATTACCTAATAGTCGCAACATAGAAAGTCTCTATTTTCCATCAATTTAAAAACTTGTGAAAAATTTCGAAGTTACGAGGTTCCTTTATTAGAAAAGCATTTCCTAATTTTAAATTAGTTTAAGTTGCAAAAAGGGGTTATGTCCGTTAAATAAATAATACTTTTACATTGCAAATTCCAAGCGCCTTTTATTTTATATTTTTTACAAAAATAATTTTTAAATTCATTGTTACGGGTCACAGTATCGATTATATAAACAAAGTGTTAATTCTTCTTTATTTCCATATTCGTTTTACATTTAATATAAGCTGTAACGGGAATTATAAAAAATTTAATGGTGATATTCTTTCGGGGAAGTTAGTATTTTTTCTTAAAAATACCAACGCCGTATATCGGATTTTTTTCCTTTTTGTGTAGCCGGCTTCCATTGCCTTGCAACCCTGGTTGACAGACTGCGAAAAATTCGGGGAGCATTTTCTAGGCCGCAATAATTGTGTTGAAAAGCGTCGAGAAGCGTGTGAATCAAAGAGCCGAGGGCCCAACGATTAGGTGACTCCGGGTAAACAGAAGTCGGAATGGACTATCGCCAACTGAAAAACGACGCTTACGGCATTGGCCAGCGGCGTGGAAGTGGAATGGGAAACTCCGGAGGTGGAGGCGGTGGCGGTGGAGGGGGAATGTATTCCTCAAACTTCGGTGGTAGCTACAACAGCAACTACAACGCCAACAACAACTACCCGCGTTCCGCAGACGATCGCTCCGGCTTTAATCCAAACAATCAGCGTTTCGGCGGCAATTCAGGCGATGATTTCCAAGACAATTTCCGGGGTCAACCATCTAACTTTGGAACATCCAACAGAGGACAATCCAATTTGGGCAACCTAGCGCGTTTGCTGGAACTGGAGTCCCCACAGAATTTCGTAAACCGCAATGCCGGAAACTCCGGAAATTTCAACTCGGATATGCGCATTTCGGAGATCAATTATCGCGGTCCGCAGTCGCAAAACAACAGCGATAGATTCTTCAACGACGAGCCCAGGAATCAGGGTTCATTCGGCAACTTTGGTCCCAACGACGGACCCTCATTTGGCGGAAATAATGGACCTTCTTTTGATCCAAACAATGGGCCTTCTTTTGGCGGCAATAATGGTCCTTCTTTTGGAGGAAACAATGGCCCTTCTTTTGGAGGAAACAATGGCCCTTCTTTTGGAGGAAACGATGGCCCTTCCTTTGGAGGAAATAATCCACGCAACTCGGGCAACTTTAACAATGACAATTTCCCAGGAAGAGGACCAAACTTTGATGACCAGCGTTCTGGTTTCAGTGATTCCTACGGACGAGGTGGACAACAAGGCAATTTTGGACAGAACTCGGGCAACTTCGGTAACAACTCGGGCAATTTTGGGGACAACAGTCGCGACATAGGCAACTTCAACAATCGAGGACCAGGAGTCGGAGGACCAGGAGTACCGGGCTTCAGTAGCAGCAATTCTGGAGGCGGCTTCAGCAACAACATCAGTCGCACGTTCAACGACTCTCGCAACAACTGGAACAGCTCGCAGGCGCAATCGCAATCGCAATCCTCTTCGTTCCAGAGCTCTGGCTATCGGTCGAACAGTGGTGGAGGAGGGGCAGGAGGTGGCGGAGGCGGCGGAGGAGGTGGAGGAGGAGCCAGTAGCTCCGGCTGGGAGGCCAGCCAGCGCGCCTTCAACTCCAAGCGCAACCAGCTTCAAAAGATGAACCTGAACAACGGTGGGGCTGTTCGCAAGCCGGGACCCCAGCCCGCCGCCAAGGCAGTGCAGAACTTGCGGAACAACCCACGGACGGCTGCTGCAATCGTCACTGCCACGGGCAGGAACAATGTGCTTAACAACAGGAACAACCAGCCAAACAAGCCCGGCAATATACGCCCGGGCAATGCAGTTGTAGTCCAGAAGAAACCGCCCAATGCACCACCCAATCAGTATAAGGTCAACAACTTAGCTCCTAAGCCGAAAACAGCTGTGGTAAACAACAAAAAGCCACTGGTGGCAGGACAAGCCCAGACAGCCAAAACTGGACCTCAGGCTGTAAAAACTGGACCGCAGGCTCAGAAGAAAGGAACACAACCACAGAAGACGGGACCACAGGCTGTAAGGACTGGCCAGCCCCCCGTAAAAGGTGGCCCACAGACAGGCAAACCTGCCGGAGTGGCATATAGGCCACCAAACGCCACTGGATTTCCTGTACAAGTCGGTAAGTACTTAAATAATTTAAACTTAGCTGTCTCCTAGGAAATCGAATTTAATAGACTTTCACTTTAAGAACAATTTCTCAACAGTTTGATAGTTTTTTATAAAGTTTTTTTTTTAATTCACATATTCAATTAGAAATCACTTTAAAAAGTAAAAATCAAAGTAAAACGATTATTTAACTATCATTTGAAAGCTAAAAGGTAAGCTAATGATAATTACCATTACCATATTAATTTTAATTACCCATAATAATAGTAAAATAAAAACGAAATTTATCTGCAAATCTATTCAGCAAGACTCTAAACATACCCCTTCAATATTTTTTAGGCCAGAAGCGCGTCGCTCCCGCTCCCCCGCTGGAAACTGAGGCTGCTTCCAAGTCGGTCAAGAAGTGGCGCCGTGTGGCACGCAAACGCGGCTTCCTAATGGGTGGATTCAAGATTCCTTATCTAAACGACCAGCCGAAGAAGATTCCGCAACCAGAGGCCGACTCGTATGCCTTGTCCTTCTTCGAGCAGATTTTCAATTACAGTACAAACCAGAACGCCACCGAGGAGGACTTCTTGGAAGCTGCCGTAGTGCTCAATGAGGATTCGGAGGACGAGTCGGTGGCCGATGATGCCAAGTCGGCACGCAAGATCGCAAAGCGCAATAGGAAGCGCCTGAGGGCCGAGTGGGCACCGCTGCACGAATCGAAGAAATACAAGGACTGGGCCAACTGGTGGAAGGACTACAAAAATGTAGGCGAGGAGATCGACAAGCAGCTGTTGGAATGTGGCAACCTCAATCTCGAGCACTGCTTTTTGCCCAATCTGCCCAAGCTCACCACGGAGCAGGTGGTCTATGCAATCATCAAGTCCGCTCACTTTGGACTCGAGAAGAACGCGGATGTGCCGTACGACACCCTAAAGACTATATTTACGTTGATGAACCGCACCTTTCTGGATAACCTCACAGACCTCAACATGGTGGAGATCCAGGACATCATTCGCGGCATACCCAACGAGCTCTGGGTATATAAGATGCGCAGCATGGTCTATCTGTGGGCCAAGTATAAGTCCATCTCCGATTCCAAATCCACCGCCGAGGAGGACGTCAAGGACCAGCAGGCCATTGCCCGCGAGTGGAAGAGTCCCTGCTTTCACTGGTTGTCCAAGCAGGCTTTTGACGAACTTGTGGTAAGTTAATATAATATTTTGTAATATTCGATAGTCTCGTTATACTTATTGGCATCATTTACTTATCCCGAATGTTTTTCTTACAGGCAATCAGTGAAACAGAATATAAGGACCACCGCAGCATCTTTCCGGCTTTAGAGTAAAAAACACTCAGATAATTTTAAAGGCACAGACCTTATCTCTTCTTAACATCCAGACCTACACAAGTCTTTTAGCGAACGAAAAGTAGGTTCTTTTTCAGGACTCTTTTATGAATTATATGATAACGTATCTAGAATGTATTAAAGACCTTTACTAAACACATTATGAAGAATCATCCTGACTATATGAAGTCTGTAATTAGATCAGAATGCTTAAACAAATAAAGAACTTTCCCACAATAAATATGATCAGAAATGTTCTTCCCACTAGGAAGTCAATAGCAATTGTATCATGTATCTCCAAAACACAAGAGTGGTTTGATTTTTGGTAAGCATAACATTTTATATGACGCTAGAAGAATCCTATTTATAAAAAACTAGCAAGTAATTGAAATGAATAAAAAATAAATAACCGCCCCACAAAATTTCTTTTAAAGGGGGGATTGTTAATTACGGACAATTGAACATTTGATTTTATTATGTATGAAACATTTTCTGTATGAAACTTAAATTAAAGAAAATGTTTTATAAAGTATATGCAAGCTCTTTCAACCAAATTCAAACGAAATTTTTATTCTCGGTTCGACATTAGTTGGTACTGTCATTAAATATCTATCTAGCCTAAGAATCACCACACCAATAAATAATGAAGTATTTTTTGGAAACTATGCCCTAGATAGTCATTAATCTATTTATAGACAACCAATTAAAAAAATATATATTAGATAAGATATAAACCAAGGATTGAGGAAAAAACTACATTAAAAGTCAAGAAATGATTACAACACACAGCACAGCAAAGAAAGTGAAACAAAATATTTGGTAAAAAGTAACTAAATACGTGAGATAAAATAAAATGAATAAAGGTCGCTTATGCAGTCGATGTTTTTAACAATTTTATTGCCAGCAACAATGTTTCACAAATGTCTTTTTCAGGCTTAATGTTACAATAGATATGCGAATTATAAATCCAATTTCGACCGCCCTTATATAAGCATGCATATACTGTGTGCCATAGCTCTGCCTATATAGCGTTGAAATTAGGCACCCAGTTGCTTGTAGAGGATCGGCACATAGTCGTCATACTCCGCCTGGTAGAGATTTCCGGCAATGGGATCGCCCAGGTCGTATTTCTTGGCGAACTCGGCGATCTTGAAGCCGCCACGTCCATCACCGCTGTTATTGGGCAGCCTCTTCTCGTCGAATGTGAGCTTGCACTTCTGCTCGTAGATCAGGAACACGTAGCGATGGAGTCCGGTATCCGGAGGAGGACCCGATCCCACGTAGGCGGAAAGCACCTCGCCCTTGGCGACATCGCAGCCGGGAATGTTGCCGACCAGCCAGTGGTGCCACTCTCGAAATTTGGGATCCTGGCGACTCGGAGCATCCGGATCGGTCATGCAGAGGGTGTAGAGTTTGGTGGCATCCGCCTCCCACTTCACACACGGCTCGTCCTTCACCTGGGTGGGCGTGAGCACCTGACCCGGCTTCACCACAATGTCGCAGGGATATTCCACCACAGCCGTCTGCGCCGGGGCCTTGGCAATCACGTCCGGGACCACGCAGTTTTCCTCCATGGTTTTACCTATGTTTTCGCAAGAATACTGCCGTTGAGATTGGGTAAATGCAGAGAGCGGTTCTTTGGTTAGGATGCGTAGTTGCAGTCCGCTGTTAAATGTTTTCAGCGTTCTAATGGCGGCCGGAAAGTTGACAGCTGAAGAGTTGGCATTCACAGCGGTTGATCGAGGTAAATCCTTCCAAAATCCAATTAGGGCATTACGGTTGAGATTACGCAACACTCTTAGCCGCACCAAGCTCATCTTTAATAGTTAATTTACCCCTTAGCAATTAATTAAATAACAGTTTATAGGCAATTCTTTTGTTGGCCACTCTGCTATTCACCTGGAAATTACTGTTTTGGTTATCGATATCGATAGCAAAGCTATATTTTTAAATTTTGATAGTCTTTGGAAAAAATGAAAAGCCTGCTTCTTGGTTCTCAAAGTACTAAGCAAATAGCATTCAATAATTCCGAGAACTGTGAGTCAAAGAAACACCGATTATGGCTTGGGTCCCCAATTCGCGTTTCGAGCACGACCTAGTGCATATGGAGCCGGGCTTTAACCTCATCCAGGGTCAGTTGGCCTACGAGGAGAAGAGAAAATTGGAGTTCAGGACATCCCCAAAAAATCCCTACGAACATCTGACTGTTCGGGAACAACTGCATGAATCAGCTGGTGGAAAGGGCCGGGAAATCCGGCACAGTCTCCAAATGATGGAGAAGATCCAAAAAATAGCGGGAACGAAACCGCTGGGCGAGCACGCCACCATGGAGGACTGGGATGACACTGGAACGGCGGAGCAGGAGGCGGTGGCCATGATGCGGCACTTCGGCATGCAGTCCCTGGGGCAGGACTCACTCCCCGCCACGTCGAAGATTACTTTTCCACAAATCAAGGAACACGGGAGCGAACGATTTCCCCTCATAACAAATCCCGAAATCTTCACTCCGCGTGGGTTGCGGAGACCAAAGAATCCTCCATCATCGGACTGCAGTCTCAATGATTCAGCGGATAATTCCTTTCACACAGCCGAAAGTATGACCAGCTGCATTTGGCTCTATGGAACGGGAATGCCCCAAGTGTGGAGTAGCCCAGAAAAGAAGAGCGAAGAAAGGAAGCGGGAGACCTTCGTCAATAAACCCAGGGTGATCCCATTTAACACGGAAAAATCCAAGGGAAAAAGGAAGAACCAGCGGCCAAGCCAAAAGGAAAGACTTCGCCAGCAAAAGGAAGATCAACTTTTAAAGCCCATCGGTCTGCACTACATTGATTGAATTCCAGTAAAGTTGGTTTAAAAAGTAAAGAAACTTTTTAACGGCTATATAAAGTTAAACACATTTAATATTTGTTCACTCTTTCGTCAGTTAGCAACGGAGTTTTCTTTTTTTGAGCACGCAATTAACTTTTTAAAATCAAAATATGTTTAAAGTCACTTAAAATACTATTACACTTTTTTAGGTAGAAAATATTGAAAAATGTATTGAAACTGAATTGAGCATTCGCATATATATGTATATATACAAAAACAATGTATTTACCTGAACATTTCTTGTATAAGTTTCAATTAATTTTTTGCTTATACTTTAATAATAGTGATAAACAAAGAATTTAAATTCTTATAGTCATTAATATGTTGAATATCGCTAATCCCGCTATTAAGAGTCGTAAGCTGTTTTGAATATATGGTAATTGACCGAAATGAATCTAATTTTGAGAATCATTTTATAAGCAAAATATAAGTTTTGAAATTTAATTTTAAAAAACGGCATTTCAAAGCCAAATACAAAGACAAATCGTTTTTGTTAAGTAAATCGTCTGTAATATAATTTCAGCCTAAATCTAAGTTCTTAAGCTAGCGAATGTGTGAATAACAAGATCGAAGGAACAAAGATGGGGATGAGATGTGTGTGGGCAAGTGATATGCACAGATATTTGGACCAATGCTTCGTCTGCGGAGTAAACTCCTCTTCAGGCCAGTCGCTGCGGAGGATGCAACTAGACCTGGTAGCGCTGCTTGTGTCAGGCTTTCCGGAACATGTCCCCCGATCCGTAGGACAGGCGTCGCTCCTTGGAGTTGCTGGTGACCAGCACCTCCTCGTCGAACTGCGATACCCGCTGCATTTTCGGTCGCATTAGACCCCTCACATCCTTCAGCGATATATCAATATCCCTGAAGGCGTTGAGCAGGAAGACAGCGGTTATTACGATAAGGAAGCCACACACATCGCCTAGGATATCGTCGAACCGCATGTGGGTGAACTCCTTGAACAGGATGGCAGATGCAGCAATGACCAAGGTGGTGAACATCACGTAATAAACTGGCGTCACTATACTGGTATTGAATATATCCAGCGCCTTGTTTAGGTAGTTCATCTGGATGGCTATAAACGTGACGGTGACTAGGATCAGAAACCATGGCATCCATGTGAGGAATACGTTCCCTCCATTGTTCAACGTCTGCCGGATGGCCAGACCCAAAGCCTTACAGGACATCACCGTCAGGGAGCCAATCCCCGAGCACAAGAAGATATAGACGACCACATTGGTGTGTCCATGACGCGGGGCGATAAAGCAGGCCACAAACACCGTGGAGCCAATGATGCAGATCACATACAGGATGAAAACCGGATCCAAGAGCATGTCAAACAGCAGCTGCAGGTCCTCGATTTCCTTTTCTTTCGGGGAGTGGATCACAATGATCGTGGATCCCAGTATGCAAAGAAAACAGCCTATCTTTCCCAGCAGATTGAGCTGCTCGTTAAGGAATCTGGAGGCCATCACGGCGGAGATAATCACACTCAGGGCACCCAATGGGGTAACCAAAGAGGCCGGCGCAAAGGCATAGGCCGCAAAGTTGGCCGCTTCTCCCACACCCACTGTAAAGAAAAAGAGGCGGTGAGTGAATGAGTCAGTGAGATAAGGGGTTTGTTTGTCTGTCTATATACCCTTGCAGGCGGTATTCAAATTTTTTGAGTGGGTTTGCTTAACATTTAAGATTCTATAGATTATTTTCAATTACATACATTTAATGTTTCAAATATTATCTGCTAATCGATTAAAAGTATTCCCATCATTTAGTGCGCGTTGTAAATAAATGGGAACTACTGCACTTAAACATCAATATGTTTATCTATGCAAAGAACGATCCGTCTTAATGAGATTATTTGTTGGTATTTTGTTGATAATTGAATGAGACATACATAGCAGGGAAAAAAGATTCCGATATCTAAAAAGTGTTAAATTTCACAATTTACTTTTAAATTAATAGATACATTAATGATTAAGCAAGCAATGTTTAAGGGAAATACATATATGTTAATTGCCATTAGTTGATTGAAGAATATAATCCGCTAAAGGAGTTCTAAGGTCGAGTTGAAAATCATTTGAATATATAAATGAAATTTGAAATATTTGATGGGCCATAATTATTAGGCATAATATTCTGCCTTTTAATTTTTTTTCATTTATTTTAAAAATGGAATTCCGAGTACTTCTACCATTATATGCTAAAACCGACACTCTATTTCTCTTACTACCATTAGAATAAGCACACTTCAAGGGCATTCCCAAACAAAGGTACTTTTTTTGTTTTCCACTCACTTGTTAGAAGACCCGCCCACCAGATCCACTCCCTTAGGTATCCAAATCCTCCCGCTGAAGCACGAACCTCGCCATATTTGCTCAGCCGGATAAGGGCCTTCTTCTTGATGATGAAGCTGGAACCGATGAAGAAGCAGGAGGAGATGGCCAGGCCCACTCCGATGTAGAAGTCCGTGTTGGACACCGCCTCCGCTATCGAAAGGGGGGCGGGGCCGGGCGATTGGTTGGCTTCCCCTGGGAGGATGCCCCCGTCCGTCATATGGGGCATCTGCAGTGATGAGGCTTCGCTGTTCATAGCTAATCCGCACTGTAATCCGGTCCTGCTTTCCGCCTTTTCGCTCTTAGAAGTCTGACTCACAAACAATGAATCTCAGGAGTGGCTGCATGCGGGCAGCCAGAAAATACCGAATTCACAAAACTGATAGTCTTGGCATCTTGGCCGAATCTAGCTATTTTATAAAGATTAATTTACACACTTAAAGGTGCAGTATAAATAAATAAAATTAAATTATTACATAAAATTTACTTTTAACTGTTCATAAAATCAAGAAGCTTTGTCATACATAAATATTGCAATATAATTTGATAAAATTTACCATTTTTTCTGAAAGAAATAAAATGTAATAATTTTGTTAACGCTAGGATTATATTTATTTGTATAAAACAAAAGTGTTCTTATATAAGTTTAATTTTAATTTTGTAATATGAATTATTTGTAAGCCTAAACAATTTCGTTTAAAAGTCGATTCAGGAAATCCTGGAACTGTACACTTAGTTCAAACACAATATAAATGCCCAAATAGATGTTCACAAGTAATACTTCTGGATAACTTAAATAGTTTTTTCAAAACCATTTCCAATATTAAAAAAAACTGATTGTTCATTTTTCTAATATAATTTCTTAAAAAACCAACTAGCTAGATTTTTTTTAGTGATTTTAGGCCAAATCAGGGCAGAGCCGCTTTGCCATTCGGTTTGCCATTCACCAATGACGCCTCCACCGAAAATGAAAACAAAACGTGCAACCGGCCAAAGAAATGCCGCCAAAGTCGAGCAGCAAGAAAAACCAGGCCAGTTGGTTCCACTGCGAGTCCTGCGGGGTGCATATTCCCTCCAAGGCGAGGGACAATCACGAAGGCTCCTGTTCCGCCATTGCCCAGGGTGATGTGGGTCCCGAATCTGAAGCGGAGTACGTGCGAAGTGGGGCGATCTTCACAAGGAGCCTTCAGCAGCGGAACTTCGAGTTGGACTCTCTAAAAGATCTCCCTGCCAAGTATGCCAACATGTTGGTCTTCGTCTCTGAGGGAGCGATGCAGTTGGCCCAGCTCCACATTGGACAACATGTGGTGATTGAAGCTTCTTCGACGGCGGTCCAGCCGCAGGTGAGGATTGTGTGGCCCATTTCGGAGCAATTCCTGACCGCAGTGTTTGTGAGCGAAGGTGGTGAGTGAGGCCAAGTTTAACGAGAGGAATCTCTGAAGAAAAAATAAATAATTATGTTATTTCTTAGACTTTAAACTTCATTGCACGCAGCTGCGGGGAAATCTCTTAAAGATCTTTGCCTTAGATCCCAGTTGCCTCACAGCGGCTGCCAGCGTATCCCTTAAGCATCTGAACAATACAGAAACCTTTCTAAAATCAGGACAACTCGAAGAAGCGATAGCCCTTCTTAAAAGAGAGATGGTCAATAGAATCTTTTGCAAGGACAGTCAAATTCACATGAATTTCTTTAACAAATCACTGATATTTCGTCTGGTGCGATGGCAAGGCACCGTGGAAGAGGCTTTAGCTGGTCTCAGTCTCGACTCCAAGCCTATGCAGTTTGTCCAGGTTACCAATGTTACCAAAGTCCAACTGATATCGGAAAATTCAAACCAGCAGTCGGTGGATGAAACTATAAGTCACCGTATAACCAAATCCCAAATAGGAGGACTGGATAGGCAACTGCAACTAGTTCAGGAGAGCATGGAGTACGCATTGGGCTTCCGGGCATTGCCTGCAGGTGAGTGTATCTTAAGATTCTCCATCATCTTCATTGTTTTCATCTTTTAGGCTTACGGGTATCTCGCGGCATGCTTCTTTTCGGCGCCACTGGCTGTGGCAAGTCCATGATCCTGGAAGCCATGTGCGCAGTGGCAGAGGACCACAGCCAGGGAAATGTGCAACTGATCCGTATCAACAGTGGCGAAGTGTACAGCAAATTTCTAGGCGAAACGGAACAGAAACTGGCTGCCATTTTTGAGCGAGCCTACAATCACTATCCGCATCCAACACTGCTGCTGATTGAGGATGTCCACAACTTGTGTCCCAAGCAGGAGAGTAGCGATCTAGTCAAGCGCGTCTCATTGGCCTTTCTTTCTTTGCTGGATCAGCTGAGTACTCCCAGGCAACTTAAGGGGAAAAGGACCTTCCTGCTGGCAACCAGTTCACAGATTGAGGCTCTGCACCCGAGCATTCGGAGAGCTGGTCGATTGGACAGTGAACTAGAGTTGGGTGCCCCAAGTCCGCAGGCAAGAAGGGATATTATTCGTTGCTTAATCCAGACTTTAGAGCACCAGATGAGTGAAGACGAAGTCGATAATGTAGCATCTATTACCCATGGCTATGTCGGAGCGGATCTTGCAAACCTAGTGTATGCTGCGGTACTACAGGCGCAGCCCAATCCTTTGCAGCTTCTGCACCTACAGAATGCTTTGACTCGCATTAAACCATCGGCGATGCGCGAAGTGCTCATCGAGTGCCCCAACGTACAGTGGTCGGATATTGGCGGTCAATCCGAGCTCCGTTTAGCGATGCAGCAGGCCATCGAGTGGCCCTTGCTTCATGCGGAGAAGTTCCAACGCCTGGGCATAAATCCACCAAGGGGAATTCTCATGTTCGGACCGCCGGGCTGCTCAAAAACAATGATTGCCAAGGCCCTGGCCACTGAAAGCAAACTAAACTTCCTGTCTATCAAGGGACCAGAGCTGTTCTCCATGTGGGTGGGCGAATCGGAACGCGCAGTGCGTGAGGTATTCCGAAAGGCTCGCCAGGTAGCACCCGCCATAGTCTTCTTTGATGAAATTGACGCCATCGGCGGGGAGCGAGGGGAGGGCGAGGGTTCCAGTTCAGGTTCCTCCGTCAAGGAACGCGTTCTCACCCAACTGCTCACCGAACTGGATGGCGTAGAGGCCCTGCAAAATGTCACCATTGTAGCTGCCACCAATCGCCCGGATATGATTGATAAGGCGTTACTCCGTCCAGGAAGAATTGATCGCATTCTCTATGTGGGATTACCTCAGAATGAAGCACGTCGGGAAATTCTGAAGATCAAACTGCGCCCGATGCCGGTTTCGAAGGAAGTGGATATGGAGCGGTTGGTGCACCTGACAGAGGGGTATTCTGGAGCAGAAATCCAAGCCGTTTGCCATGAGGCTGCCCTGCGGGCCCTAGAGCAAAGCTTTGAAGCGGAGGAGGTCAAGTGGGTGGACTTCGAGCACGCCTTGCAGGCCGTACCACCACGGACAAGTCCGGAACTCCTTAACCTCTATGAAGATTATCTCAAACGGAAGTAATAAATAAAAGAGAAATTCTTGATTTTGTTTCGGAGAAACCAGGTCTTAAAAATCATCATTATCACCATTTTGGCAAGCTTAAATTGTATATATACCGTAAAATTGTATAAAAAAAATGTATAACGGATGTCAAGACCTAATGGCTATTATGACATTTAATCTATTTCAATTATATTGGTATAAACATCTTCATAGTTGTATTAAAGTAAAATACCTTGAGTACCTAAAATTCTAATTAATGTAGTCAAGGAGGAAACCCAAAAAACTTTAAATCAAAGCATTGCTCTCAAAAGGTGTTTATTAGATCAGCCTTTAACTCGAAATTGTGGTTGTAAAATGAGAACGACTTGATATATACTCGCATTTAGACATTACTGAAAACCTAATTTAGTGTGCAAAGATTAGGCTAAAAAGATAAGATGGCAAATTCAAAGTTATCAGCTAATTTTGAATTCGAGAGTTGATTCTATTGTTAAGAATGTTTAAACGTTGAGCATAAAAAGAATTTCTAATTATTGCCTTACTCAATTGAAAATAAATTGATACGGGAAAACCAATGAAATTTCTCAAATATCTTTGAAATTGGGAAATTGATTTTATTTTGGTGAGACCAATTGACCGTTTAGATAACTTTTTAATGTATATTTTTCTGAGAACTGGCGTTTTTGGTTCATTATTATGACTAAATCCATAAATTTGACAAACTCAGGCTGAAAAACCTGCAATTTAATTAAATACAGAATAGAAATTTTGTTTCACGGTCTTTTAAGGTCAAACAGTTCTTGCAAAAAATATATGAGTAACCTATGTACCTACCCCAATTAAATTGGAGTTGAAAATTTATAATCTTTGCAGAAATAGTCGTTTGTTTTATGTTCTTATAAAAAATTAATTATACCCAACAAACATTTTTTTGTTTATATCCTTAACTAATTTTTTTAAAAAGATAATGTTGTTTCTATTCCAGAAATAGTTATCCGATTTGTATAAAATAAATAGCTTCGATTGTTATATTCTCCACCAGAACTTAGCTTCAACTATGATGATAGGAAAAATATATAAATATATTATTAGTTTCTTTAAATAATTGTGATGGAATTTAATTCGTTACCCTGCAAAATTATCATTATTTTTTTTAAAGCAAATATTGACTTTAAAAATTATTTACCATTCAGTAAGACTTATAGAGTTTATCTCAGGAAAAATATAATAATTGGTATCGATGCACTGAAAGCTTAAACGGTTTTCGTTTTTGGGTTGTTGTGTATGGATACTTCTTGACACTACTGTATTCGGTGTGCCGGAGAGCGTTTGGGACACTCCGCTCCCCAATTGCGCGATCAGTTGCCGGCTGGCGTTCGTCGCGTTGGTTACGACACGTTTCAATTCGCGCAACATCGGTGGTCGGAAAAGATTGAATTCCAATAGCCTGGTATCGCAATTTACGACATGAAAAACTGGCTGAAGATCTCGCTGCTGTTGTGCACGTTCGGGTTTTTCCGGGAACTTCGACCCTCGGAGCCCTACGTCACGGAGTATTTGTCCTCGGACTACGGAAATCTGACCTCGGAAGAGATCTACCAGGATGTGTACCCCCTGGGCACCTACATGGTGCTGGCCCAGTTGGTCATTGTGTTTCTCATTACGGATCTGGTCAGATACAAGCTAGTTATCGTGCTGTCTGCGCTGGCCGGGATCGTGCTCTTTTCCCTGCTTATCTGGACGGAAACCGTGAGGATGTTGCAGGTTGCTCAGATATTCTTCGGGATCTTCACTGCCGCGGAGGTGGCCTACTACACTTACATGTACGCCAAGGTGGACAAGGAGCAGTACCAGATCGTCACGGGTCACACCAGGGCTGCCATTTTGAGTGGAAAATTCCTGGGCGGCCTATTGGCCCAAATTCTGGTGTCCACCGATAGCATGAGCTACCGGCAGCTCCACTACATATCGCTGACCACGCAGGTCATCTCCCTGGCGGTATCCCTACTCCTCCCTGGAGTTCCCAGAAGCCTCTACTTCTATGCAGCCTCCGATAAAAGTCCCTCCGGTGGCGAGGAAACGGCCCCAACATTCTCCTTTTCCAACGCGTGTCGGCTTTTGTGGTACCACCTCGTCTCTTCCTACTCCAATCCCGTGGTGCTGCAGTGGAGTCTGTGGTGGGCACTGGCCACGTGCGGGCAAATTCAGGTGAGTCTGGTGTTTTTCGACTTTAAGTTTTCGCGTTTCTGCAAGTTAAGCAATTTCTTAGAGGTATTCAGTTATTTTCCGGGTTGAGATTTTAATGTCGTATTTATTTAATGGATGTTACCCAAGTATTGAAGTACTTTTGTAATAGGTTGTGTTTGTTGTAAATCAAATGCTTTAAACAGAATTTAAATATATATATTTGTGTATACCTTTATTTTTATACAAATAATCACATTCTTTCGTTAACAAGTCCGTTAAAAAATCTTTAAATGGTAAGAATTATTCGAATTCCAAATAGTCGCACTTATGCGTTGATAATTGTCATGTTCTTCACCAGAGTGGACTCAGTATATTAAAATCTATCAAAAAAGTTTTCATAAAACAAGAATTTTCAATCCGCAGGTAATCTCCTACATCCAATTCCTGTGGAAAGAGGTGGCCCCGGGTCACCTGAGCGTATATAACGGCGGAGTCGAGGCCGTGGCCACTCTGCTTGGAGCTATCGGAGCTATTTTGGCCGGCCTGCTCAACTCCAATAAGCGACGTGGATCCTACATGATGGGCATATCCATATGTGCTGCTGTCCTGGGAGCCCTGCTCATCTATGCTTCCCAGACGCAGGAGATCTGGGTGGCCTATATAAACTATGTACTCTTCTGCGCCGTCTTCTTCTTCATCATCACAGTGGCGGGTGCAGTGGTGGCCGAGAACTTGGTGGAGGACAGCTTCGGGTTGATCTTCGGTATTAACACCCTGGTGGGGCTGCTCCTTCAGACCATTCTGACTATTGTAGTGGTGGAGAAAGTTGGGCTAGCCCTGAAACCACGTGATCAGTACGTGGTGTACGGCAGCTACTTCATAGTTTTGGCTGGGATCTACCTAATAGGGTCTGTCTTGGCGAAATTCTTCTGCAGAAGTAGCAACGCAAATGATAGTAACGAGGTTCCCTTATCGTAGACTAGAATGAATTTAACACAAGTTTTAATTATTTAAAAACTAAAATAATTTCTCAAAGTGAAAGAAAAGAAATCGACTAACAAGTGTCTAGTACTTAGTAGTAAGTAGTATTTGCACAGGTATTTTTTGGAAACGTGGAATTTTCTTATACGGGTGCCTCCTAGAACAACATAATTTATAGAATCCATACTAAATTCCATACTTTAAAATAACATGTTTTAAGATTGTATAAACAGACAAATTAACATAACGAATATTTCATTAATTATTATTCTTTGTACCATTCATAGAATGTAAATACTTTTCATTTGCTGCCACCGCCGCAAAAAGATAAATATTATAATAATAAATTTAGCGAAATTTCAAAAGGAAAACGATTTTTCATAGTCTTGTGGTATTATTTTCACCGAACATTTAATAATTTAATATTTTTCTAATATATTTAATATTATTTGTACTAAAAAACTTATTGCAGGAGTAGATCCATCTCCTCCGCATTCGAGGACATCAGGTCCCTCTCCAAACTGGTGGTGGCTGCAGTCGCCTGGTTGAGGAACAGATCAAAGTCGTAACCATCGTTTTGGGCCGCAATAGAGTCCTTTTGATTGCTGATGGTCTGCGGATTGGATAGCAGGTCAACATCGTAGAGACCCAGTTCTTTGAGAAGCGTTTCGTTCTCACTGGTGGATTGCGAAGCAGGCGACTCCACAGATGCCTTGACCTCCACATTGATAATGGCCGCCGGCTGCTCCACAGCCTCAAATCCGCAATCGACTTGAGAGGGAGTGGAGCTGGCATGATTATTGGCCTCGATTTCATCATCATCCAGCTCCTGCGGCTTCAGAGTGCTCGACTTGTACTGGAAGTCCGTCTCCTTGAAGTCCACTTCAATGGGAAAGAGCGGCGGCAGCGAGTCCAGTCGTTCCACCAAACTCCTGTGAAGCTCCGCCAAGCTCTCCAGCAGGCTTCTCAACTGATTGTTCAGATCCATGGCATGTTTGCACTCCAGCAGCTCCATCTTTTCGAGAACATCCGTGCGTAGTTTGGCGAATTTGCTGCGCGCATCCTGGCGGCATCTTAGGATTAACCTGTACTCATAATTTCCCGTCTCCACCCGATAAAGTGGCTCCTGGAGGGCCGCAAAGCCATGCTCCTCATCATCCATTTCCTTGACTTTCAGGCAATACGAGAGATATGTGAACTTGGCATCCGCATAACGACGTACAGTGAGCTTTGTGTCCGGGATGGCTTTGTTCAGATATGTTCCCAGATCGGCCAGCACTGGCTTTATCTGCTTGATAATCCCCAATCCATCCTTTTCCAAGGTGCGATGGAACTCCCCGAAGGTTCGAAAAGCCTCTGAGGCTCGCTGCTGGGGTTCATGGACCGAAATTTGGGTGAAGCAATCCCCGAAGGACTTGTAGGTCTGCAGGAGATCATAGTAGGCTTTGAGCATGCGGCGGGCATGCTCGACCAGACCCTTGTACATCAATTCAGTGCCTTCCAGCTCCTCCAGTCGCTTCACCAGCGAATCATTGCAGAGTATCGCCCTGGAGAGTCCCAAAGTATCAGCCGTATTGCTCGACAAATTGTCCACTATCCTGTGTTTCAGCTTCTTCAGGATAATGTCCAGTGTCTTGCCCTGTTCGGGATCAGCGTGCAGCTTATTGTAGTGGACGACCACCTCGTCGGTGGCCGTCTGGATCATTTTGGCCACCTCTACCTTTGTCTTGCCCTTTACGCTCACCGAGTTCACCGCCAGCAGTTCGTCCCCGGATTGCAGGGATCCCTCCCTTGCGGCAGGCGTTCCATCGAAGATCTGGAGTTAAAGAGGGATTATTATAATTTATTTCTTAAGGAGCGATAACTATCTGCCAGTCTGAAGTCTATTTTGGTAGGCGCTTGGGGTCACAACTACTTATAAATTAAATTACCACCAATTGGTGTGTAAATTGAACAGTTTCAAATTTTGTTCTGCCGTGAAGAATTCATTTATCAGGGTATTGATTAAATTCATTTTATTTCAACGCCAAACATTGTTTCTATCTCACCAAGTTAGTAGTAGACTTTCGTTCAAGCTTTAAAATTATTTAAAAATAAATCAACATCCCAATTACATTTGGCTAGCCAAATTATGACCATCACCGACTGGTATAAGTGGTCCGTGCAGCATTTCAAATGTGATCCCCATATCAGACCCAAGCTGATCCCTGGCGTCGATCGGCTGGATGACAGGCTGAGGGCAGTGCTCCGCGAGCAGGACTTGCAGAATGATTTGCTTAAGCGAAAACCGGCTGGTGGTGGCCAGAATCAGAGAAAGTCCAAGAAGCTCAAGACGACCAAGAAGCAGACGCCTCGGGCCTGTGAGTTCCAAAGGTTATACAGCGAGAAGCGCAAGGAGCTCAAGCTTTTGGCTAAAATCCAAGGGATGGAGTACCAGTTCCGGAGTAGACCTGTGCCCAATTTCGAGCGATTCCATCAGCGTTTGGAGAGGCGCAAGCTCTACCTCAACTCTCTGCAGAAGGTGACGAGGCCCCGATGTCCTGGCACCCTGGCCGCGTCCATGGAGGCGCTGCACAAACGCAAGAAGGAGGAGAAGCAGCGCACAAAGTCGACTGACTTCATTCCCAGGATCAATCCTGGCTCTTCAATGGACTACCTGCACCGCCAGCCGTTCATCCCGCAAATCGAGTCTACTTATACCCGTCCCAAGCCTTTTCATCTCCATACCTCCGACCGTGCTCTGAGTCGGCGGCTGTATGATGAGCGGAAAAGGATGCGGATGGATCAGCGCCTGGAGCAAAAGGCCAGCGACTGGTTCAAGCGGGAAAGAGCCGAGTTCCTCAAGCTCCGTAAAATGACTAACTTTAAGGCTAATCCAAATCCCTGGAGGCGTACAACGGTCAGCACTGCAGGATGATTCCAGAACTTTCACTTTCATAAAAACTAATGTAAAAACACTTCAAAATCACTGAAAAAACTTCCTCCCACAAATTCACCGAAAATTGTACAGATAGTCTTGCACTTATATCAGTTGAATTTCGGTTGTGGGAAGAAGACTTTGAATAAAATTGCATTTTCATGAAATTCGCTTTGATTAATATTATTTTAATATACACATCTATTTATTCAAGAAAACAAGCTATTTTCGGCGAGCCGAAGTTTATTTATCCTTGTAGCTAGTTTAAAATCAATAAGGCTTTGTAGATTAACATTTTTTTTATCGTTTCTGTGTTACTTATTTGAGCGATAGTCATCCGATTTATTTTCTAAGTACATCCGTATATATTTAAAAACAAAAAAGTTAAAATTGTTTTAATTTATATTTGCGTTTGCTCCTGTATGAGCTTTTTGATATAGACTACCGATCCATCTCGTTTCTACTTATATACTAGAATGGAAAGAATAATAAAACCTTCAGCAAGGGTAAACAAATATAGTTAATATTAATATTTAGGTAACATTTTATTATTTTATTTCTACTTGTTTGATTGTTCAGTATATTTTTTATGCAAAGCTTAAAGTTAAAACTCACCTGTACAATATATAAGCAGGGGCACATGGGTGCTCCACCACCGATGCTAATTCCAATAAGGTTGCTTTGATCCTTGGTAATAACAACGGCATTTGTGGTGACTGTCATACCCCTAATTTTAGATTTATAAAGTGGATATCTATTAGTTTTGTCAAATTGGAAGAAAGATTCGAGCGTAGACTACGCGTGCTATTTGATTTAAAATATACGATTATGTGTGGGTGATTTTATATCAATTTGCCATACGTACTCACATCGATCGGTGAAATTTTCTAATTAGCCATGTTACCAGTTCTAGCAAGGCCATTGGACTCTAATTAATTTACCTACTGCTGTTTGGGAAAACTGTTGATCGAGGCAGTTTAGGCTAAGGCGTCGTGATAATATCGACTTCGATTGTTAGTAATCCAAATGCCAATAGACGCTTCAAATTAATGTAATTTATTTAATTCACTAGCTAGCCTAGCTATAAATACGTTATTGTTTAGTATAAGCATCTAGATGTCTACACAGAAATAAAAATTAAATTTGTCCTATTTATCAGTAATTGAAATAAAATAAAATACCGCTCTAGTTCTGGTTATTTTATAGTTCAAAATACAATAAGGATACAGTGCTCGCTTGGTTAAATAAGATCGAAAACTATACAATAATATTAATTATAAATGACAATAGCCACAAAAATAAATAAAAATATTTTTTTATTTTGAATTTAAACTTCAAATAATAGGTTGACAATTATCTTGGCCCTTGTAAGTGGTTTTAATTTAAAACTTAAATTATTTCGAATTTAACTTTACTGACTTTATTTATTGATAAAAACAAAGTTCGTTTGAAATATTTTCCGAATTGAATAATAATATAACACACACAAAATTTGTACTGTTAAAAAATTCTAAATATAAATAATACAAAAAAGTTCGTAATTAAATAATGTTTAATAAATATTAAATTGCTTAGATAAAAGGACCTTGAATTACACTTTTCTAAATAACGAGCGGCCACAGTAAAAACAATATTCTAACGATTCCGGGTCAACGGGGTTGACTTACAGACGATCTAACTCATATTTCTGCCTATTGGCCGACTCGATGCCGAATCTGTCCCCGGATCCGGAATCGGAGGAAAAGCCCGCCGGAGAGCAGAGCATAACGGTGGTCTCGAGGGGAGCTGCGGAGGGTTTCTCCACCTCCACGGGAAGATCCTTGTCCTCATCCAACTGGATGAGCAGCGGTTCTGGCCTGATTCCAACAATATGTTTCGGTTGGGACGGTTATTGATTTTTAACAGATACTTGGCACATCGCAACAGATTGTTGTGCTCAAATAAAGCTGGGCAGAGAGTTTTTGTTAATTGATGGGCCCAATCGGGTACTTACATCTTATCCTCCTCGAAAAAGAAGTCATCATCCGTGTCCGTCAGCATTTTCCGTGATTAAAAATTATTTTTTTGTTTATTTTGGCAACTTGAAATTCCTCGAACTGTCATCGGCGATTAATAACTGATTTGAAAGCTATCGTATCGCAACGCGAATGGCAAACTCCAGGAGAAACTCAGCCATTCTCACGGAGTAACCATGACCACTTGTTGCCTTGGAAACGGTGAAGAAAAACGTAAACAGAAAATGATGGACTGGGCCGAAGAACTAAAGATGACCATAAGAAAGGTTAAAAAATTACATTTAAATAGATGGATACTAAGGTTTGAACATATTTTCACCCCCAGACGACGGCCAGGAAAGGTCGGCGCTCCAAGAGTCGCGATGTCTTGAAGGAAGATCCTTCACAGGCGGCCACAGGCTCCAAGGATATATCCATCGACATCACCCTGAATGTCCAGGCAGGAACTCCTCCCACAACTTCGGATACGACCACTTCGTCGACCTACAACAATGAATTCGAGTCTCACCGTCCACCTATCCGTCGAATTTCGGGGGGCTGGGCTGATTCTGGACTAAAGGGATTAAAGTGGGTAAAGTAACGCCGTGTATAGGTAATATTACTGATTACTCTTTCTTTACAGGTCCAAGAAGAACTCCTTTGATGAGTAAGTGTATCTAAAGGTTGTCAAATATTTATAGGATTTTGTATATGTTATCCCAGAATGCTGGGTATTTTTCCATTTTTCTATCAATCGCTTACAATATATTGGCTGATTAGCTAAAACTATTTAAAAAGGATTGGCTATTTTTGAGATACCTATTGAAAATGGCTTTCTTTCCTTTAGAATCCAAAAATCATGAACTTATACCCGCAAAAGCCAGTGAATTAATACCATTTACTTTCTTTAAAAATGTAAAACTGGTCTTTGGTTTCCGTACACATGATTAAATTTTTCAGTAGCTTAACTAACAATATAAATCTATTTTTGCAGCGAACGTTTTAGGCAAACAAAATCGACTACAAATTCAATACCAACAGATGACATTCCAGTCATCCCAGATATGGATGATCTCAAAGATGAAATTATGCTGAATGAGATAGTGGAACCACCTACGTAAGCCTGAGTTTATGCAATTTGTGCACTATAGTAACTAAATGCTTAAAATTCAGTATCGGCACTACTCGGTCTACTGTTTTAAAGGAGGCAAATTCTGATTTGCTTTCCCAGTATGCCTTTTCGGCGGTGGATGGATTTGATCTCTCAATCTTAGCTGAATGCTTGGTCCCCCAGGAGAGTCTCAATGAGAAGGACGATCTCTGGCAGTGGGACAAACTCTTTACCGAGGTCACGGCTGAAATCCATTCGGATAAGGTACCCAATATAGCCATGAAAATTGGACCCGATGTGGTGCCTCCCACACAGTATTCTTGAGAGATTTTACCCTTCAATTCCAGTGCAATACAAATACTCAATTATTTAAATGATAAGGAAATACATTTTATGCCTTAAATGATCACAAAATATACTTCACACAGATACTCAATTAAATTGCGAATTTTAAATAACATAAAAGCAGTCCAGTTCTAATTTATTGGATGGCTCTTCCTACTCCATCGAAAGCTTTATCCTTGTGATCTGCGGCATTGGCACGAGCTTCGTAATTGCAAATGGTTACACCATGATAATGAGCTTCAGTAAACTCCCCTCGGAGTCCTTTAAATATATGATTGTAATGGGTAATATTAAATGCTAAGGGATTCTGCGTCACCTACCTATATAATAAATGCGAGTATTGTCATCACCAAAATTACTAGGGAAGTAAAGCGAGAGGTGGTGCACGGATGAGAAGGTGACTACTTTGGGTGAGTACTCGATTTCTCCACGGACATCGCGGGTTAGGTGGAATTCCTGATCGGGCTTAGCTTTTGCATCGTCGAAGGTCATTCTGGGGCGGTTCTTAAAGCTGAAAAAGTATTTATTTTATAGTGTACGGATGTATTCTCAGAAACCAAAGATTGCATTACCTTACAGGTAAATTTTTATGTGGAATCTTACTCAAAAAGTGCTTTAGTTTGATTTATAAAATTCAAAATTAATATTCTAGGCTCTAATCCTAATTGGTATTTTCAAAATTAATCAATTCAAATTGAATCTATCCTAGCTAAAGGGACACAAAATCATTACAATAGCTTTAGAATAATATTGAAATTTTTTAAAACACCTATCCTTATAGATTGCATAGTCTATATACATAAAAGATATAAATAAAGTTTTTGTTTAATACTGGTATGTTATGAAAATTGTAATTCTACTTGAACACCAGTTGAACGACCTATGTATATATGTATGTTTAAATACGATCCTTATTCTATTACGTATACAGGAATTCGATTAGGATTTATATGCGGATAGATCTATGTAGACCTTTTAGCTAATACCGCATCAAAGATCCGACTACTGTTTCTTTGTATAAATATTTTAGAGGGGATTTTAAACCTTATAGAATAATCGTCCTTACATTTTGACCATGTTGGGATGCGAATCATCATTGGCACCGCTTATGATGATTCCCTTGAGCTTAACGTTTCCGGTGAAGGGGATATTGAACAAGAGCTCTTCGTCCGCGTCGCTCTGGACGAATTTTGAGAGATCCTGGCGCCTTTCGTAGGGCTTGAAAACGCTTTTTCCCTGGCCGTCCGTCTCCTCGTTCAGACACTCCGTGTTGTCCAGGTCGATTTTGGTGTACAAACTGTACTCTATGCCCATTTCCAGGGCGTGGTCCACGTCCGTGGCCTCATGGCTGCATCCACCGTGATCGTGCGAGTGTCCGTGCGGCATGATTTTAATTTAAAATTAAACCAAATCCAAATGTAAATAAACCAGCCGAGTCACCTTTAAGAAAACGGTAACCCCAGCATTCACACGGAACGATGACATCGATAGCCCTCAGTACTGCCGATTGTCAAGACAGCGGTAAATTCCAGCTCGTTGAGGGCGGTCACACTAATTTCAGCACAAAAAAATTAAATTTACCCAATTTTAATCTGTGTTAATCGCTGTGAATTTAGTGTGGAATAATTGTGTTTTGCTAAAAACTAAGTCTCAACGTTCCAATGGCGCCCAAGGCAAAATCGGTTGGCATCAAGCCCACGGCCAAGGCCTTTAAAGACAAGTCGAAGCCCACTGATGTGCGCTTGTCAAATATCCAGGCGGCCAAAGGTGAGAAAATGTGAAAAATTAAACTGAAATAAAGCCATGCGTGATGAGAAACCTATGCCGAGGGAATATTTGTGGTCCTAGAAGCCTGGGCAATGGGTTTCCGGGGAGTGTTATGCCGGAATTGCTGGCCAAATGGCTAATGAAAATCGCAGTTGGATGCCGGCTGTGTCTGGAAACTTCTTGGGCGTAAGAAGAAGAGCGAGCATTACTCATGTGATGAACAGAGCTGTGAAAATTTAAGGTTTATAATACCCTTCTTGGGGGAACTAAACTCCCGATAGGATGTTTACTCTGCCTCCTGTTTCGGAAAATAAAATTAATTTAAGTCGATAAGATATTAAAAAGCAAAGACCATCTGTCTGTTTTGGAAATTAGTCATCCGATGTTAAACAGTCTGTATGAAACTAAGCACATGCCATTCTTTCAAGCTGCATACGTTTGGTTATAATGCTTAAACGCACAATCCAATACAATTTTCAATTGTTTTTATTTCACATAAATTAAACTTCATATAATAAAGGTTCTCCAGCTTATGAGTGCATGTCTAGTAAAAATTCAGTTCAAATCCAATTTTATGAATAATGAAACTATAATTATAATTATAACATTAATGTATGGTAACTTTTGAACACTAAACTATTTTTATTATACATAGACTATTTCTTTATATACATTTTATAAAATTAAAGATAATAACGTAACGGTATAAAGAACTATAGACCCGAATCATGAATGGGGAATAATTTCAACTTAAACTATGATATGTTTTTTTTATAGCTTCGAGTGTTAGAATAGCAGAGTATTTTATAATGCGGATAACTTCGTTTTTTAATTTTAGAGATTTAAATTAGACAAATTGAAATTTTAAGCAAGAGGGCTCAATTGATTTAATTTTTAACAAACTTTCTTTAAACTGTTTTTCGACCTTTTATTACATCTTGGTTCCATGTACATATATTATTGTTTCAATCAGGAACTTAAATTAATAAATAATCCTTTATTGCAGCTGTTTCCGATGCTATTCGTACCAGTTTGGGCCCCCGCGGCATGGACAAGATGATCCAGGCGGGCAATGGCGAAGTGTCCATCACTAACGATGGAGCCACCATCCTGAAGCAGATGAACGTGCTGCACCCGGCCGCCAAGATGCTGGTGGAGCTGTCTCGTGCCCAGGACGTGGCCGCTGGCGATGGCACCACCTCTGTTGTGGTTATTGCCGGCGCTCTGCTGGAAGCCTGCGAGAAGCTGCTGCAGAAGGGCCTGCATCCCACGGCCATCTCGGACTCGTTCCAGCGCTGCTCCAACAAGGCAGTGGAGATCCTCAAACAGATGTCCACCCCTATCGAGCTGAACGACCGCGAGACGCTGATTAAGAGTGCCTCCACCTCGCTGAACTCCAAGGTGGTGTCCCAGCAGAGCAGCCTCCTGGCCCCCATTGCCGTGGATGCCGTGCTGAAGGTCACGGACCCCAGCAAGGAGGGCTCTGTGGATCTCAAGAACATCAAGGTCATCTCCAGCCTGGGCGGCACCGTTGAGGACACCGAGCTGGTCGATGGATTGGTCTTTACTTGCCGCTCGGCCGGCTCCAATGCTCCCAAGCGCATCGAGAAGGCCAAGATCGGTCTTATCCAGTTCTGCATCTCGGCACCCAAGACCGATGTAAGTACCAATAATACCGAATAAACTTTTATTATTACTCGTATTTATCCATATTTATGCACATTTCCAGATGGACCACAATGTTATTGTGTCGGACTACGCTGCCATGGATCGTGTGCTGAAGGAGGAGCGTTCATACATCCTCAACATTGTCAAGCAGATCAAGAAGTCCGGATGCAATGTCCTGCTGGTTCAGAAATCCATCCTGCGGTAGGTTCAGAAATTTCTTCGCCTTATTTTTGCTGATAATTTCCTGTTTCTTCCTTAGCGATGCTGTTTCTGACCTCGCTCAGCACTTTTTGGACAAGATCAAGTGCCTGGTGGTCAAGGATGTGGAGCGCGAGGACATTGAGTTCGTGTGCAAGACTCTGCACTGCCGTCCAATCGCCTCGCTGGATCATTTCACAGCCGAGAACCTTTCCAGCGCTGAGCTGGTCGAGGAGGTGGCCAGTGGCACCAACAAGTTTGTGAAGATCACCGGCATCCAGAACATGGGACGTACAGTCTCGATCATCTGCCGTGGATCCAACAAGCTGGTGCTTGAGGAGGCTGCTCGCTCTCTGCACGACGCCCTGTGTGTGGTGCGTTGCCTGGTGAAGTTGCGCGCCCAGATTGTGGGCGGTGGTGCACCGGAGATCGAGATGGCGCTGCAGTTGGCAGCCTTGGCTCAAACGGTTGAGGGTGTGGATGCGTACTGCTTCCGGGCATTTGCCGATGCCCTGGAGGTCATTCCTTCGACTCTGGCTGAGAACGCCGGCTTGAACCCCATTGCCACGGTCACGGAATTGCGCAACCGCCACGCCCAGGGCGAGAAAACAGCTGGTATTAATGTGCGCAAGGGCGCCATCACAGACATTTACGCTGAGAATGTAGTGCAACCGCTGCTGGTCAGTATTTCATCAATCACCCTGGCCACGGAGACGATTCGCTCGATCTTGAAGATTGATGATATTGTAAGTGTTGTATAAACTTATTAAATAATTTTATTGGTTGTTAATTATTGCCCCACTTTCATTTCAGGTCAATACCTTCAGTTAAGCATTGTGACCCACCTCCTTCGGTTGTCTGTCTCCGATCAAGATCAATCTTAAAGCATTTTCATCTAATCCCTCACATCTATTACCCATTATGCGATTTCGCATTAAATTTGAATAAAATTCACATATACACTACGCCTTACCAGCTTAATATGTATTTAAAAAACGAAAACTAAAAGATTAAATACTTCGCTAACACAACCCAAATAAAAACCTTTTTTGAGTTATGAAGGATTTTTGTCACATAATTATTGTTAGGATCTTATAATCACTCTTTAATTCGGAGATGGCTAAATAACTAAGGGTACCCAACAGATACACATAACCTAACGGTTGTTGTTGGTCTTCAATTGAAATACATTATGGGCAAAAGATTCGTTTAATGATTATCGAGTTTCGTGATTTATATTGGTTTCAACTAAATGTTAACGTCAAAAATGTGTGTGGTCCGGTACCATGGTACCGGATGTATATTTCCTTTTTAAAAAAAGTTTGTTCAATTAATTTTACAGAACGTGAACTTTTCTTCTGGACCAAGCACCGACCAGTTTGGGGAATTAACTTATAAATTCGCAAATATGAAAATCATTCATTTTTCTTGTCGCTGTAAGATTATATATTTAAAAAAATCCATATCTATCTTTTTTTATAGTTTCCTTCAACTTTTTTCAAAAATATTCAAAAGGTTTTACTTTTTGACAACATTTGTGTTTTACAAAATATGGTAACTTTAATATATTCCCAAAAAAAAACATTTTTCTATTAAAGAATTAAATACATTTCCTTTACTGGCAGTTAGCTAAGACCTATTGTAATGTATGTGAAAAACAAGAGGCAGTCCACAACCGGCAATTGTTTCGTACCTATTAAGGCCCAATATGAGTTGAGCTAAAGTTCGCTTTAAACTGTCAGTGGTAACAAAATCATTGATGAACCTTGAATCTTAATTTTTTGGGAAAAAGGCTTTTACCTCGATTGTTAATGTTTCCTGTTGATTTTTTGATTTAATTCACGGTGTTCAAAAATTACCTTCTCAATAAAATCGCCAAAAAGTATCTTTGTTATATTTGCTCAGATGGGATTTAAGTGCCATCCTTGAATATTATCGTTTTACTTTCAGTAAGAAAAGAAATAAAAAGTCTTCAAAATACAATTAAAAATAACGAAATTAATTGGTGAGAGAGGCTTTATATACAAAACTTATTTATAAAGTATAAAATTAGTTTTCAATGCAGAGTGAAAATAAATATTTAACTCTTCTTGACTTTATGGTAAATAACGCCAATGTAAAGGCTTCAATACTAAATTTGTCTTAAATAATTTTATTTATTTAAAAAAATTTTAATTGCCCTAATTATGGCACCCGAGCACACATTACGTAAAGTCCCTAACTAGAGCTTAACTTTTTTTTTACCTTATTCAGTCTTAGGGATTTAATACATGTATTTTTTGTTTGTCTGGTTTGTCTGTATAATTTAGTGATCAAATTCACATTGATCACCTCCAAAATGTCTTTCTTTTACTTTTTATCGCTTGTGGGCTATTGAACTGGTTTTGGAAATTCATAATTTTATTATAGTAATGCTGAAAATTTTGTAAGACTTTCAAATCTAGCTAAAAAGCATAAAGCAACTCCTTTGATTTCATTTAAACCTGAATTATTACCAACCGTACCCTTATCTAATGTGCGAACTCATTTTCCTCGCTTTCAGCCACCACCTTGGGTTTCAAAGGGGTTCGCTGAGCCCCACCCATTTCACACCCCCGCCTCAAATTCACCCCATTCGTTTTGGGGATCCTTTTTGTTCTGGGCGTGTAAATAAAAATCACTTGATGCGATTTTTATGATGTGCGTTAAATGATTAAACCACTTGAACTGGTTTCAAATTGTCAAAAAAGAAGGCGGCGGGGTGGGTCGGGCAAGGGTCTTTATCCTTTGTTTTCTTAGCCCCATTTTGGAATTTCGTGTGGGTTGGGTTTTCGCTTGGGTGTGATTAGATGGGGACTATCTCTCGTGTCCGGAAACTTTCGGCGCGTGTAAGTTAATTAAATGTGTAAACATGTCAAAGGGATCAAGTTTTCTAGCCCACTATCTCCAACCACCCATCTGCCGAGATGGTGTTGATTTCGGATCACGCCCTTGATTGGCTTTGATTTTCGAGCCTCAAAAAAGCTATTTCGCTAATTGGCTCGTGCAAATATCTGGGGTAGGTTTTCCATTCGCTTTCGGGGGTCGTATGCTAATTTTTTTTTCATTTTAAAGTTTTTCCTTCAGCGGCCATTGATTTGCGTTTTTCATTTTGGTCTTTAGAGGGTGGAAAACTCTGCTCTCAGAAGTTTCCTTTCATATTTGACCATTTTTCTTTATTTATCTCATGTTTATGGCAAAGGTTGTTTTATTTTTATATATTGGAACTGGCAACTTAGTTTCAATATTACCTATTAATAAATAAAGACAACATATAAAAAAAGGGTGCATTAATTTAAGAAATACAATAAAAGCCCTTCTTCTTTAAGAAACTGCTTATTATAGTACTGCAAAACCTTGGCAAAATTAATAAATAAAATTGCCAAAGAATCAAAATGTGTAACTTGAAGGGTATTGAAAAATTCGATTTATGCGGCTTTCATCCCAGTTATTTACTCTATTTTTCGTTACTTTTTTTTAGCTATTTGCTCGACTGTCTTGGGGCATTGTCGTTCACGTCCTCGTTCCCATTTGTTTCTTGAGCAAATATTGAATTTGCGCTTTTTTCTCAAGCTATTTGCCGGAGCCAGTGGCCCACACTTTTGAAACTTTTCATTTTGGGGGTTTTCCCTTTGTTTCGCCTGTTTGCTTAATTTTTGTATGCTATTTTCTTCATCTACTTTTTGCTCATTTCATATTTTCATTGTAATTCAATTGTGTTTCCCCCGCTGCTGTTGTTTTTGGCCAAATGTTTGCACAAGTCTTATGTTCTCCAGTCGGGCGAAAAGGGGTGTGTCCCAGTTGTCCGTGTTCCTTTTTTTGCGCTAGTCGAATTGAAATTCAAAGCACCGAATTGTCAGCCAGTCACGCAGAAATTTAACATATGTTCGCCATATAATTTGCGAGCACTTTTTATTTCGCAAAACTCATCTGAAATTACCAACGTCTGCTATCTCACATCTAGTTTGTCTAAAAGATTGAAGAGGAACAAAGGAGACTTATAAAAAAAATTGTAGATTTATTTTGGAGGGCTTTAAAGTAAAGTTTCATTAACATAAGAGCAATTAAAATTAGCATTGTATAAAAAATGATATGAATTGTAAAATTGTACAATACATACTTTGGGTTATCGAGGAAACTTTAATATTGATTACATATAAGATCTAAGAAATCTAGATCTAAAAAATTATATGAGTTGTAGAATTTTTTAAATTTTTTTGCTTAATGAGTTGTAGAATTTTTTAAATTTTTTTGCTTTAAATCTGACAGACTTTTTTGCGTAGAATCGGACAGACGATTTTGATTAGATTGACACGGCAGTACAGGGTCTCAAACCCATTTTTTTATTTGTTACTTACTTTTAAACGATTAAAAAAGTGTTTTACGAAGGTAATGCAAAAATTTCACACATATTTGCCATACAATTACATGAAGTTTTTGCAGTTATCTCCTTAAAATGGCAATCAAGCCCTAGAATCAACCTTTTTTTTGTATTTTTGTCAGGCTGTTTTTAAAAAAAATTAACCAAATGTAGGTGAACTTTTTCAAAAATATCTTTAATATTTAACGAATCTGCTTAGCAAAAGAATCCCATCTAGTTCATGCCACTCAAGGAAGAAAAACGTCATCAAGAAAATAAATATTGGAGCAAAGGCATAAAGGAAACTTAATTTTCGTTAGTCCTGCCAAGTGGCGAGTGATTAATGATGGCGGGGCCACGACAATATTATGAAAACGCATTCGAAAATTTCATTAAATTGTTATAAATGAAGCGGGCGAAAGCGAAACATTTCTGGGATAGAAAATTCAATTTGCAAATGCAGCAAGTGTTTGTTTGCCTGTCGGCCAAACTAAATCTATCAAACGAAACCTGAATGAAATCTCGGGCTGGCGATCTCCAACCACCGGGAAACCCCTTGAAAAAGCCTACGGGGCTTATCAACCCATTTTGACCAGCTCAGGGTTAGGGCACTTTGAATATGACCAATGCAATTGAAGTTTCCCCTATTGAAAACCGAAATGGCTCAAAGCCATTTTGCGTCCGTTTCCATTCGTTTTTTGGTTATTTGGAATGGCCAGACGACGTCTGCACAGGACTGATAACATTCAAAGAGTCCCAAACCCCCGAGCCGAGATTCGAGTGCTCGCCAATTAAGTGTGAGTGCTGGCATCGATGGGCTTTCCTTTGGCCTCCGTTTGATGTGTGCTCGAGTGGGCGAATGGCCTGCAAATTAAATAGGGTAACCATTCGGTCGAGATTTCACTTCTGGTCAGATTAAAAATTTATTCGCAACTCTGGACAGCTGCGGGCAAGTAAACCGTCAAGTTTTAAACGAATATGGTCAAATAATACGTTACCAAAGATTGGGATTCGGTTTTCAATAGAAGTACCAAAAATACTCAAAGGGTCAAGTAAGCCATAGAAAATTAAAAAAAAGTATTCCATAAGAAATAGGTAAGCTTACATTTAAAAAAAAGTAACAAAACCTTAGGTAAGAGCTCCCGTTCTTCTTGTAATTTAAATCTTAATTATCTTATTTGTGGTCAAGTAACATTAGATTAACACGTTCTAATTTTATGCTAAAATATGTGATTCCTTCCTATTTAACTTCGTCCTGAATGTGGCATTGTGAAATATCAAATAATATTGTTCAAACTCTCCTCGCCACAAAGGAATTACATATATTAGCCATAAAAATAATTATTTTAATGAAATTTTAGGAATAAGTGTTGCACATGAGTCTATTTGCAGTTCCCGTACACCATCATTTACCTAATTCCTTTCTTTTTTTTAATTTAAATATTAATTAACTTATTTGTGGCCAAATTACATTAAATTAAAACTTTCTGTGTTTATTATAAAATATATAAATAAATATAATAAAGTTTTTGACTATTAAACTTCCTCCTGAATGTAGCACTGTGAAATATCTAATAATACTGTTCAAAGTTTGAACTTCAAACTGCTCACCACAAATAAATTCTATTAAGCATAAAAATAATTATTTTAATGAACTTTACCCCTTTGAACAATTTTAGGAATAAGTGTTGCACATATGCCTATTTCCCATTCCCTTACACCATAATTTACCTAATTCATTGGCACACTTCCATTAAGATATCTCCATCAAGGACTTGACTTGCTTAAGCGATTTAAAAAGGATACAACTGGGACAACATAAAATACTTCCACAGCCCACATCAGGGACAGAAAACAGCAAACAACAGGAACTAGAACCAGGACAAGACCAAAATCAACCACCGGAGCGAGCACCATATGACATAACTATGTGTGAATTGATGGCGTAAACCCTTTCCCTTCCCCAACTCTTATCATTTTTTAGAGATTCGTGTCCTGAACGAATCAGAGCAGGGCAAACTTTGGCAGGGAAGAGGATTCGGGATGAGGAATCGGAGTTGGGGTTGCTCGGAAAGGATTTACACGCTTGCCTCGATATACAAATAGGGGTTCTGTCTGGGTTGCCATATTGACTGTCGCCGGGCCCAAAAAGATGAAGTGATTTCTTATCCAACAAATCCACACTCGACAACCAAAAAAAGGGGTTGCTGGTGTGGGTCACTCGCATCCTTTCTGCCTTGGCCCGCGTTTGCCAGGAAGTTTATTAAAAAATGGTCGTGTTTGCCTTTGTCGCGTGGCTGGCAAACGCTTTCGGAGCGGGCCAAGGAAATCAGTTAACTAAATATCTCGTTCAATATTTATTTAGGCAGTGCCTAATGAGATTCGAGTGTATTTGTGGACGGCACACGACAGACTATAAACCTAAAGCGTTGGCTAATTGAATAATAAGCTAAGACGTTTTGAAATGTATTACTTTGTCTCGACAATATTAGCAGTTAATAGTTAAGCAGTTAAAATTTGTACGAACTACTCAACAGCTATTTAATTTTATTATTCCAGGGTACCTAAAATATAGCAAAACGTGTGTCTGAACTGCAATGGTATTTTATGATGAGCTGCTATCCTTGTAAGACATATAAAGTTGCATATGATGATTGAGATTTCGCGAGTAATATTTTGGTTTTAAAAACCTTAATTCTAAACTTTACAGACTAAAGTGCTTTCAAATTGTTATATCCATTTTCTTTTAACAAAATAATACGCCTGAAGTACCTCGTTTTGATAAAAGATGTAATATCTGATCAAGTGAACTTTACACTGCTGTATTTATGCTTTAAAACAATACCAACGGGATGCCTACGGACTTATATGTATATTTATTAAGAATCGCAATAGTTGTAAATTAAATTAAACACATTTTTTTTCATAAAATTAAATTGCTGTTGTTTGACCCACTTAAAATTGTTAAATATAAAATATATTTGAAAATAATATGTTAAAATATATTAAAATATATTAAAATATATTATATATAAAAAGATATTTTTTAAAATTGTGCGTCCATAGGCGTTTTTTAAGATATCTTATGCGTTAAAAAAAAGTTACTCAAAAACCCAAAAATTTGCAAAACAGTTGAAAATTTATAAAAGACACAGTCTAAACAGAACTTATTTTTTGAGAAAACTCGTTTAGATGATGCGAACATAACCATAAGAAAACAGATTTCTTGCCCTTTAATTTAATATTCCCTCTTTGAATTCCCCCAAGTATAAATAAACATTTTATATTTTTTATAAATTATTTTATCGGAATAATTTTATTGAAATTTTTGGATGTTAGGATCTAAGTGTGTTTAAGATCAATTTACAATTGGACATCGTACAACAACATCGGTACACATACACATCTAAGTCAATACATATTAAATACAACTAGGGGAATTGGCTTGTGGCGTAGTGGGTATAGGACACAACAGATATATGGCATTTTGTGGGATAGTTAGATCTAGGAACTCTATTTGCATACAGATACGAATAGGTAGTGTAGTGAACTATATGTACTCATAAATTCGTAATGATTTTCTGATACGACTGGCTATCACCTAGTTTACTAAATACATCCATGGCATTGTTGCATTTGATATGGAGAGAGTGGCTTGTGGAATGTCGTGGAAGAGTTTGGAGTATAAGCTGACTATGTACAAATCGGATTTTCCAGGTTCCGCACTCTTCTTATTCCCCGGAACTGATGGAGCTGCCGCAGAAAGAACCCGACCCGGCTTCCAGTTGCATGTGGGACATGTTCAGAGCCTGCGGTGGATAGCCAAAGGCATGACTGCTCAAGGGAGTGCCCGTGGGACTATCCAGATCCAGCGAGGGATTGATGCGCTTCTCCTTCTGGCGCCGATTGCAGAACCACACCCGAATCACCTCCTTGTCCATGTTCAAGCGCTCCGACAGCTGACTGATCTCCTCCGACGTGGGCTTGCAGTTCATCAGGAAGGCCTTCTCCAGCGTGGTTCGCACGGTGGTTTCGATGGAGGTGCGCTTCTTGCGCCTGCGTCCCAAAATACTCTCTGGGGTGCTGCTCAAGCTACTGGTCATCGTGTTGATGTTGAACACTCCGCCGCCTGACTTGGCCACACTGCTGTCCGCATCCTCCAGCCACTTCTGGAGCAGCGGCTTCAGCTTGCACATGTTCTTGAAGCTCAGATTGAGGGCCTCGAAGCGGGAAATTGTGGTCTGCGAGAAGTCGTTGCCGTAGAGTTTGCCCATGGCCAGACCCACATCGCCTTGGGTGAAGCCCAGCTTGATCCTGCGCTGCTTGAAGGTCTTGGCAAACTGCTCGAGTTCCTCCAGGTCGGTGGTCTCCTCCGGCGACTGCTCCAGTTTGGCCATCGCAGATGCCACGGTGAGTCCACTCGTGGGCTTCGGAGTGCTCTGCTGCAGTTGCTGCTGCTGCATGCTGGGTGTATTTGGCGTCATCACGGCACTGCTCAATCCCAGAGAATTAGCAGTCATGGAGTTTGGAGGAGTTCGCTGCTGCTGCGATTTGCTGTGCCGGGGTACCGGACTCAGGGAAGGACTTCTTAGGGGAGACTTTGCCAAGGGAGTGGAGTAACTGGGCAAAGGATCCTCCCTTTGCTGCTGTTTGATCTGCTGCAAGGCCTGAAACTGAGCCAAGGCTTGCAGGGAGTTCTGAAGCAGGAACTGCGTGGCTATGTTCGGATTGGGAAAAGCCTCCGGAGCCAATTGGCGAACCATTTCTATGTAACTATGCAACTGCAGCTGCAGCGCCTGATGCATTTCCTCCGGAGCAAACCCCATGGGCTGCGGTGGAATGGCACTTGCCACCGCCTCCTCCACTCTCTCCTCCTTCAGCTGGGCTTCCGCCAATCTTTTGGGTGGCGGTGCTAGGTCGAGCACCTCGTTTTCCAGCTCTGAATCCAGTTCCCTGGCCTGGCGCTTGCTGCTCAGGTTCTGTGGCATCTCGCAGTTCTCGCCCAGCTCCAGTTCCTCCTCTTCAAAGCTCTTTCCACAGTCTGTAAGAAAAGGAAAAAGATATTTTATAGTAGACGATTGTGGGTAGTTTGCTTTTCAATTTTCCAACTCAATGAAGTTCAAGTAGCCGGACTGGTCAACGCACGCGCCGCATAATTTGATTTTAACCAAAAGACTGTGCAAGTTTTTCAATATTTCTGCAGCTATTTTGAGGGTATAGCGGGGATTTGATGGATATGTCTTAAAGCCAACCAATTTCAATTATATTAAATGAAGAAATCTTTCAAATTATGAAATAAGAGTTCATAATTATAGCTGTTTAAATATAATAAATTGTTTTATATTGTTCTTTATTTATAATAAAATTGGGTTTTCCAAAAGATGATTTAAAAAAATAATTCCTTAATGTATTTTCCATGCCTTTTATAAGTGCATTCATTCACCGACTTTCTCTAAACGTTTTCTTTTCAGTCTTTTTAAGGCAAATTTTATTCAATCTTCCAATTGAATGCTCATCCTTTTTTCGCTATCCTGTCGAATGTCTGCGTCCTGCGGTTAGCTACGATAGACGCTCAAGCGGAAGGGTTTGCCTTTGTGGCCCCTCTCCCCGTCATCCAGCAGCCTCCCCCAACATCGTTGTTGAAAACCCAATCATGCATAATAATTGAAAAATAGCCATACATCAGAGGCTACGGCGGAGTCAAACAGGAAGCTTGCTCCTTTGTCTCCGATAAATGCGCAGTAAGGCAACGAAAGGAGCTCAGGTTTCATAATTTTCTAAAGGAAAATTATTGATTTTGATGTGAAGAAAAGTAATGAGTGAGTAACATCCGACAGGAGAAATATGAACCTTGATCATAAGGTAAAAGCAATAAAACAGAATTATTAAAAAATCAAGAACTATAAGGTATTCTAAGTTGGTTGTTTCTTTAGTGATCAATATGTAAAATCTAACATTTTTTTTTAACTTTTCAAGACCTCCTTCCTTTTGACTTCCTATCTAAAATCAACTTCCTAACATCTTTCAAAAATGTAAAAAATGTAGCGCTTTAAACCGATTTAGAAATAAAGAGAAATGATAGCTGTAAGCGGATTCAACCCCATGTTAAACTGGATTCACGGGATTAGGAACTGTTTCAAAAAAATATTTCTAATGCGGGCGTTTGAACTTTGCAAATAAATTGCATGTGGGCAGCTGTTTTTATGACTCCCTTTATGTAGAACGGCGAAAGTTGAATACGCCGTAATAAAATTAGCCATTGGAAACGCATTGGGAACCAGTTAGAAATGAAATTCATCCAAGGGTTAGACACATTCAAAAACATGTCACCCTTTTTGAAAGGATTTTTCAACCCTCTCTCGATAGAGGAGTTTCGAATTTAAAATTCGTTACAATTCGAATGCACGAGTCGCGGATTAGAGCAGAATGCAACTTGCCATTGGGTGGAAAAAAGGACCAGCCAAAGAAAGGGTTCCAAGTTGCATTGTTTGGCTTCTAGAAAATATGGGGAAAGTCAAGAAGCCTCAGGAGCAAGTTCAAACCAAGGCAAGAAACACTGTTGTGATCCTTTGTGAGTGGAATGCGCCTGCAGCGAGCGATCCACGATCCTCGAGCCTCGATTTTCCGAAACCCAAAACCAGGTGATGCCGCTTTGTCTGTCTCGGGGCAGATGTGTTATCCTGCTGATGAGGACTTCATGGTGAATGCAAGTTCCTCGTCCTGCCACAATGGCAATGTGTGAATGTTTCCACTGACAAATGAAGTGTTGCCTTTCCTTGCAAACTCGGAATTCTGTGTACTCCTTTTCCATGCAGTTTTTAGGGGTTGATTTTCCCAATCGCAAGAGGGAGTGTAAAGTGCGTTTCGATTTATGGGAAAGATAAAACTAGAAATATAGAGACTGCACTGAGAGAGATTTGCGGTAGAGAGCCAGAGTCTGGCAATCCAATTATCTCTGTATATCTTATGTAGTTTATCTACATAAAAACTAAGCCAAAAAACACATTTAAATTTGAAACTAGAGTTTCCAAAATATTTGGTTAATACCAAAAAAAAAATGGAAATTGTTATCAATCAACCTAATTCTATTGCGTTTTAAGCACTTTTACATTTGAAAGTTTCGAAATTATTTGGGTAATACCAAAAATAAAATATACATTGTTAACGAATCTAATATAGTCCTTGCTTATCACAGCAAAACTAATTATTATTAACAAAAGTATTTAATAAGTCAAAAGCCAAGCATCAACTTATATCTGTGTTTATAACTTTTGCTTCGATACTTATATTTAAATTGGTATTATTTAGTACGCTAATATTGCTCATTATTCAAATTGAGGCTCGTTAACTCCTTTATGTTTTCAAGCTTAACCCTTCGCACTTTCAGTCCCTACTCTTAACTCTTCATTAAAAACTCGTCACGCCTATCGATTCTCCTCAACTTGTTTGCATGCCACACAAAACGCCCTTGAAACGCCCCCAGAACAAAGTTTTGAAAAGTACAAAAAACAAGGAGCACCCAATCAGAACCGCTGATTATAATATCCTTTACTCGCTTCCTCTTCGGAATTACCCCTCAAGCATTGAGAGAGCCTCAATTAACTTCACGCAACCAAATCCTTTCAATTTGAATAAAGAGACGAGGGGATGTCGTTCAACAAGTGGTACTTTAAAAAATGAGGTGGCAAGGGTAACCCTTTGCTTAGGGTTACCCCCTCAATCGACTTCACACCTCGGCGCTATTCAAATGATATGTTAAACAGGGTTGAGCAGGATCAACAGTTTGCCTTTTTTTGTGTGTGATGCTAATGTTGCGGCACTCGAGTTTTTTAGCTGTTGAAGCAACCCTTTTTTAGAAAAGAGTTCCCCCCTCTGTATTTTGACAACATTTGAATATGCATAATGGCCTGAAGAGGAGTGTGAGAGGGGTTAGGCACCCTTGGCTCGCTTGACTCGCCTAATTTGTGTAAACCAATAAAAATGCTAGTATAATTGTCAACTAATATCGGATGGCATTGGCAACCCTGTTAATGCGCCGCATTTATTCAAATGGGGTGGAATTCCATGCATGTTTTTGCATAGATTAGTTGCACTTTGTTAGGGGTTGGCTTTGGTTCGGGGTCCTTACATAATTGCTCGAGCCATCATTTAAATGCGCCAAAGCAGAAATTTACATTTTGACAAATTGTTATTTTTGTTTGTTTGCGAACAGAAGAGGGTCGTGTTAGGGTCATCTGGGTGGGGGGCGGAGGTCAAAAGAGCATATAGGGGTCTCAGAAGGATGATCTCCAGTTTAAGCTTGTTCCCTTGCGGGGGTTGTTTTCGGGGGAGGTTGTTGGTGGGTGTGGAAAAAAAGATTTTGGGTGGCATTGTGATAGTAATGGATGAAAGAGATTTAAAGTTTGAATGAAGTTTGACAATAGAACATAATAAATGCCTGTTTATACCAATTACTTTAGTGTTGGGACTCAATATTATTTAAATTTGTATATCTAAAATGTTTCAATGTCTATTATGTGTTTAATGTTTATAATTGTTTATAATAAAAACGTACTAGATTTACGTATATTGACATTTTGCTAGTAATAGTTTTTCTATACAGGGCTTAATTTTCATCCATCAACAAACACATCTACTTTATTATTTTAACATAAACAAAAAGGTTATGTTCAATGCCGCATTACATCTTCAAATAAAGAAGCTTCCATCTTTCAATATCTCATATAAGACCTTTAAGAGTCATCGAATTTCTTATTGCGACCTGCAAAGGCTTCTGGCCTTCAGTCACACTTCAGTCACGTGCTGGTTCCTCAACAGCACCCATAAATATTATAGGTTCCCGAACCTAATGCCTCATTACCAATAACAGAGCCAGGAACTCCAGTCCTCGGCCGCACTTCTGAGTTACTACCTAAGCCAAACCTTCAAATAAACGCGATGTGGATAGGGGATGTGGACTGGGGATGCAGTGGTGGAGAGGAGAGGAGAGGGGTGCGTGGCTGATTGCATATTGCAAAAAGAGGAAAACTGAAAACTATAAAAATTGTCTGTCGTGTGAGTAATCAATTTAGCCACAAAGTAGCCACGTTCCGACACGAGTCGGGAGCAGGATAAAAAGGACATGTCGGCTGAATGCTGGCCAAGGATTAGCCGTATTGTAGATATATGTATTTATGTATTTACCTGATAGGGAGCGCAGCGGCGAGGGCGGTGTGGGTGAGTTGGACATGTGCCGCATAACTGCAAAAATAAGAAAAAATATTTTTATATTTTTAATAATGCTTGGCACAAGCAAACTCAAATGCAAATGACACGTACTTCAGCTTCAGGACAGAAATGGACAAGACAAATAATTTTTTAAGGAGTGGGGATGTCCCAGCGTCAGGGTGTTTTCATTTCATGTCTGGCTCGTAAAATGTCCATTAGGAATTCGGACATAACACATTTCTTATGGCGTATATAACATGCAAAAATGTTTTCAGCTTTGAGCTGAGTGCTCGCTGGTGTAAAGTTTTTAAGGACCCATTTCCGCGAACAAATGGTTGGAAGAATGCTTAAAGTAGTTTTCACGCAATTTTTACATGCGATGAAAAAAGCACTGTAAATAATTGTAATGTTTCTTAGTTAATTTATTATCAAGAAAATTGAGTTAGTACGTTTCGAAAAAGTCAACTTCTATAGCTATATCCGTAGAAATTGGTTTAGATTTTCTGTTGAATGTATGTTAAATTCTTTTAAAATACGCTTTTGATTTAAATAAATTTCCCCCATTTAAGCTGCAAAATCCCAACTGTCCACAGGACTCAGACTAAAATCCTCAACATCTTTCATTCATTTCCCACCGTCCACTTCCATCCTCCCTCAGCCTTTTTTTGTGCCATTTGGTTTTTTGTTTTGCAAAGTAGATATTAAATTTATAGCTCCCCCGGGGCGTAAGCAAAGTAGTATCCTTCCCCGAGAAGGACATCGGGCAGCACGGAAAAAGTAACATATTTTTACGACAATATATTGTTGTGAGGACGCTCTGACTTGGGGAATCCTTGTGCATAATGTCCAGTGCAGGACAATATAAATATACAGATTACGCATTGGCCATTGGGATGGCGTTGTCCTTGTGGTCGGGTAATGGTTGTGTGCGATGGGATTGGGGCCGGCTTAGGAGGGGCGGTGGTTGACCTCACACCTCTCCTGTTGGCAGGATAACAAGTGGCATTAGTCAAAGGATCTTTGGGATTTCAGTTGCGCACATGATCTGCATGTTAGAATTTCTTTCCCTTTTTATACCCACACCTTCGGCTTAAATGTAATTACACAAAATTTGCCTTTTGTGGCTAATTTGGTTTCTTTTTCTTTGTTCCGCCCTAAAAATTACCTACGCTTTAGGCTGCAGAATAGTTTTCCCCCTAAAAAACGAAATACGAAGGAAATGCCAAGAATAAGAAAAAACATCGTTTTCTTTCTCCTTTGTGTCCATGCAAAATACCCTCTGAAAAAAAGACAACGTCTCGGACACAGGTAAAAAGGACACTGCCAGGATGCAAATGCAAACACAACAAATCTAAAAACTACGATCACACGCTCGCACAGTGGGACGCTCCAGGACAGCTGCTGCCCAAAAACGACACCGTCAGCAGCAGGACATCGCATCAAATCTATTGCAAAACGCCATGAAATCGTTCATCTGATAGGGAAATTGTGTGCACTCTCCTATACTCTATTCCATCTGATCTGGACCCTCTGCCCGGGATAATGTGTGGGCGTGTAATCATCATCGATGACCTTTGTTTGCGCCGGACTGGTTTAGCCCTTAGTCCTTTTTTGACAAAATTTATTGCTCGAGAAAGTGAAAAGTTTTGGTAACAGGTACCAGGTCCTATAAATCAGGTTAAGATTTGGTGTATTATTCGGTAAGCCGCCTCGACTTGTTTGTTATTATCTAACAGCTTCTTAGAAATTCATAAAACAAATACAAAATTTAAGACATTTTAAAAGTATTAATTTGAATTACCATGTAGGGTAACAACGTTAAAGCCCCATATGTTTTATTTTAACATTTTTTTAAAAGCTATTATGTTTGGTCTACCTTGTCAACAGAACACCTCTTTATTTCCAAAATTAACCAGTTAAATAAATATAAATATTAAAAAAAAGGATTTAATATATTAATTAAAATACCATTTATAATTCCATTATTAGTGACAAAATCCTAGTGCACTTGACAGCCCTAGCCAAACATATCGAAAGCTTCCCTAGCTTGTTGTGCGGTGGCAGCCCTAAATAACTCACATGTGTGTGCTCCTGTTGTTGCATGTTCCTGATGGCAAACTTTTGTTGGAGTGCTTTCTGCATCCGCCGATTGTTGTGTTGTTGTATTTGTGTTATTTCCTGTTGTTGCATCCCACAGACGCTGTTGTTGTTGCTGTAGCACCATCATTTTGTGAGTTTTATTATTTTTAAATGTTTATAATTAAAGATATTTAAATCTGCACTTGAAACATTCACAAGAAAGAAAGTCTTCGTTCGATTTTCTATTCTTCCGATTTGTTCTTCTCGGATTTTTTTTGTTTGCTAGTTGAGAGAACCCGACCGTCTAGCTTCAACTTCGTTGGTTGAATGCAATTGAGGAACTGAGAAACCGAGAAACTGAGAAACTGAGACTCAGAAATTCGAGGAATCGTATTTGGCTGCATTCTCTGTGGGACCCGTTATGTGCATGCTATCTCTCCCTCGCACTCGCTGCCTCTCTTTCGCTCTCTCTCCTGGCTGTGAGTGTGTGTGATATACTTTATGATTTGCAGCGGTAGTTTTCCTCATTTCCTCTCCGCTCTCCTCCTTCCATTCAAACTTCTCACTCAGTCGCTCATTTGCACTCAAAATCAACCCTGCACCACCGTTAGTCCGTGTGTGCGTGTGGAACGTATTCTTTGTCGCCTGCATTCTGATCAGAATTTCCTTGCACTCCATTGTTGCCTTCCCCTGCGTTTCTACATTTTCCTGCATTAGCATAGGCCACAAGTTGACTTCTCCTGTGAAATGGGTGTGGCCTATGTATAATGCATTTTCCGTTTTCCTTGCCTTTGCCTTTCGACTTTCTGCGCACTATGCAACATTTCTTTGCATACCTCGATTTTACCCTCGTTGCAAGTAAATCATAATTAAATGGGGGTTTTATGTGCTCCTAAAAGGTGTCGTCTGGTTTATACATTTATATATATGTACATTTATATATATGTACATTTATATATATACATTTATATATATTGATATAAGGATAGTCTTGGGGGATCTCACTTTAATATTGGTTAATATTCAGGGAATTTGTATATATATAGGTCTTATATGCTTTTTTTGTAATACTTTTGTAACCCCAAACGGTCAACTCAGTTATCTTATGAAAGATTCCCTTGGTCAAATACTTGTGAATCAGTAAAGAAACACAGATTAGAAATATCTAGTTCTTTTCTAATAAGGTAGTGAATAAGGTGAATCATTTTCAAATATTTTTTAAAGATTTTATCAGTTTTTTCTTATTTTAGAATATTACTATTGAATATTTTTAGTATTAACTTATATTTTTCTTTCTGTATAAACTAATCATTAATACATTGATAAGATAGATCAAGATCTTTATAAAGAAACCGCTTAAAGTCTCTGAAATATTTTCCCAACCATATTTTTCTTTGAACTTTCACAGTATTCTACTGTAAATCTGAGAATCATATGGCAGCGTTTTCCGAATCCTGCAATCCTGCCATTCAATCCACCCATCAAATTGAGCATTTCGTTGTGTTTATATAAACACAAAACTCATTCATATAAACATCAGCGCAGCCATTGAACCGAGACTTTCTCGAGTAATTACAACAAGTGTTGTTGCGCTCTCCCGCGTTCATACTGCCCCCTTTTCCCTTTTCCTTTTTTGCCATTTTCCACCCACACAAACATGTGAGCTGCGATTTTCGTTTTTGCTTTTTTTGAGGAGGAAAAGCGGAGGAAAAGGCCCTTTGCAGCCCTGGTGACAGCGCATACATTTTATGATTATGACTGTGACTGCACTTCCCATTGCTTTCTTTCTCCATTCGCCCAAGTTTGTGGGTCCTGCTGGGGAAAATAATGGAGGAAATTCTCCTGTTTTCCCTTGGCTGACTTGCGCCCATTTTCCGTTTCGTCTGAAGCATTTTAATTAAAACTGCAAAATTAATGTTTTGCCTTCAGGACTCGATTTCCTCTTCGCTTCAAGGACCAAAACAATTAAAGAATTTAGAAAGAACCAATAAAATCAAACGAACTATGAACGAGAATGTCTTTATGAATAAAATATTATTTTCTTAAAAAAATTAAGACACAAAATTGCAAAAATAATATAGATTTCATAAATAATCAAATTTTTAATTTGTTTTTTGACTTTACGGTAAAATACGCAACTGCATTAATTATCCATTCAAGTTCAAGTAACATGCAAATTTGACTTTTCCTCTTAAATTAAATATGTAGTTTGCAATTGTGTTTGATACCGCTGCTTTTATTTTTATAATATAATCTATAGGTGAACTGGTTGCTCTAGAGGTCAAGAGATTCACAAAAAACTTTCTAATAATAAATTTAGTATAACAATTTTGGGAGTAAAAACACATTTAACAAACTAATATAAATGTATCTTTAACTGTCATACTTTAAACTTTAATTGAATAACAGAATTTATATAGAACAATAACTTGATTTACTAGTATATAAAAGGTTTTCACTATCATTATTTACACATTACTTCACATTAAAGTGCCAACATGATTTAAGAGCCAAAGGAAAAACGGGAAAATCAATAGCAATCGTTCGATTCTCCCCCAAACTAATTTCAATAGTTATCCTTTTTGGTCCTGGCGTTACTGGCGCTGCTGCTGATTAAACTTGTCACTGGGAGACAAAAGATAAACAGTTCCTCACTTCGGATAGTTTCCCTGTGCCTTATTTTGCGTTGTTCCTGGGCGGTGTCTAGGCAATTTGATTATTTGCCAGGAGCAGACGGCACAGACAGCCAGGACATCACTGGACACACCAGACAGGACCAAAAGGGGGAGGCACACTCGAATACACACATGTGCATGGCAACATGGAAGTTTTTGGGCATTGAAATTAATCAAGAAAATAAACGCTTGGCAGCATCGCCGGAAAATCGAGAGGAAAAGCGGGTGCTGTGTGGAAACCACACACACTTTGCATGACGAAAACAGACGGGACAAGGACAAGGACATCGGCAGGACCGGCGGTGGGAGCACTAACCCGGAACCAAACAATGTCGGGTGGTTGTGAAAACTCCGACATTTCCCTGTCGCTTCTCGTTCGGCCAGTGCTGCTCTTGCAACGCATTAAAATGACATACCAATTTGCGTTAAGCAAATAAGACGAGACTAGCATTCGGTCCTCAAGTTAGTCGTACATTTTGGTCAGATAAAATGGGAGGTTAAGTGGCTGGGGGCAGTAGTTGCGGCTGGGGTTCATATCTTTCGGCAGCTGGGTGGTTTTTGCACGGGTTTTACGTCTTTATAGAAGAATTAAAGCTCCGTTTGCTAAAATAAAATTTAAATATTTTTTAAAATCTGTGGAATAAATAATCTATAAAACTTGTTCCCAAGACCAATGGCTAACACATAGAAAATTAATTTTTGTGGTATTTAAAGTTTAGATCAATATTTCTTGCCGCAACCTTCACCTTACTCAAATTTTAATGACATTAAAAAGAATATTGTGGCTTTATTAACCCAATTTTAATGCCTTTAAAATATTTTTTTAAATATAAGAACTACTTTTTTGTTGCAATAAATGTAAACGATAATTTCTTTTAAAATATACTTTTTCTGCAACACACAAAAGTAACGGTTTTTTTGCATAACATTCCATTTTCTACACCCAAAATGGGTTAAAAACAGGCACATAAATCAATAATTCTTTACCCAACAAAATTGTGAGAAAATTTTGCGAAAATTCCGTTAGATATCCCGTACTTAATCAGAGTCCTGGCACCCAAAAAAAATATAAAAGGGAACCGCAATTTTTTGCCTTTTTCTCACCCTCCCCAAAAGACAAAAATCGCACAAAAAATCACCCAAAAAATTGGCCTTTGTTCAATTTGAATTTCTTTCAATTTCGAGCTATTTTTACCTTAAAAAATTACGCATTATTGGGGTACATTCACCCTTAGGTAGTCGAAGCCAAGGGGTTGCTACCCCTCGTGAGTTTACCTTAGAGCTAAGCTGTGGAAGATCTCGGGTAATCCTTGACAGTGATCCTCAATTTTTACCCTTGAGTCTTGTCGTTTTCTTCGTTTTTCTGGCCCAAAAAACGGCGCGCAATTTTCTTCGGCATTGTGCGGGGAAAAAATGTGTAGAAAATTCATTATTTTTTGTCGAAATATCTGAGTTTGGTCTTCTGCGAAGGGTTGCACTGCCGATTGACAGCGATTTTCTGTGGCAGATTGCCGCTGGGCAAGTCGAAATCAATAAACGTTAATAAATAATCCAAGAAGGGAAGATGCGGCGCTACAAATGCGGAAGTAAAAGGACATTTAGAGGCTGCTTTGTCCTCTTCCTCTATTGATTTCCGTTGCTGAGGTTTCCTCATCGATTTGCACTCGCTTTAATCGGGTTCCTTTCTACTATTTTGGCGCGCTATTTTTTGTGCGTTTTTGTATAAGATTTTTTGGGTCAGCAGATGGAAAGAGTTGAAAAGTTTTGGAGGGAAAACCATTTCGAAAGGGTCCTTCTTTTATAGCGGTTGACATTTGAAAAAAACTTTTAAGCACTTAAGGATATAACAAAGTCGAGTGATTTTGATCAATTATACAATTATTTTCCGTTTTACATTGAAACTATAGAAAATTTTGATTTGCTTTAGTACGTAGGTTTAGTTATATCTGTATATTTGTTTGTATTTTCAAAACAAATTTATTGTATAGTTGGTAGTCTAAAAAAAGAATTAAAAAGTGAAATATCTAATTTTGTTTAACTATTTAAATTTATATTCTCATACTTAAATTTATATTCTTACTTATGCGAGAACTTAAACTGTAGTACTTATAAAAATAAGGTTTACAATAAAAAGATTATAAAATTTAAGATTTAAAATATAAAACAACAATAAAAAAATAAAAAAAATAGGTTAACTTGTTCTCTTTACATCGCCATTTTCAGCCTTTTCCTATTGTTTCCCAGCTAAAGATCAATCTATGCAAATCTAACCCTTATGCTGTTGCGCAACCATTTTAGAGTCGGTGAAAAATGTAAATCGCATTTAAATGGAGGTGGTGGGTAAAAACAAAAATGGATTTATGATCTTTGCTTTACAGCTTGTAAAGCGTTTTTATTGGATTTACGGCCACCCTCAGCGGAGTTTGTTCCCCGAGGCGGAGCTCAATTGGCCATAAGCTGCTCAGAATACCAGGTCACAGTTGGTAGTGACACCAGTTTGCGCCAGAGCTTTCCTCTTCGGATTTTCCCTTGCTTTTTACGGCGCGGGGTGGGTTCTTTCGCTTTTTGTTGTGTCCTGTCAAAGGTTACCTCATGCAATTGTGGTTCGGTTTTTTTGAGCGCCGCAAGCCACCTTTTCCAACAACCCGACAACATCCACCCACCAATGACCCGGGCCTGACCCACCCACCCACTGGGCGCACAAAGTGGTTTTAAATTCCATTAAATAAAGTTGTAAAGGTTGCGCTGGTGTACTTGAGAATTTTCACGCATATTTTGTTCGCACTTTTGTAAATTTATTAATATTTTAGTGATTTTAAATGGAGTTTGTATGTTGGCAATTCTGAGGGGGACTTCCCCCTCTTTCTCTTTTTTGCTGGACTCTTAGTTTGGGGTAGGTGGTGGTATAAAAGGTATTGTATTAAGTTGAAAGCTTGTAATTGAGTTGAATTTCGTTTTATTTTTTCACTTTTTTGAGTGCTTGGTGTAGAGTTACCTTGGATTAGATTTGGCTGGGTAATGCTTTTGAGGGAAATACATGATGGACGCTTTAGAAGTTTTTAGGAAATCTTTTACGCTAGATATTCAAAGTATCAGAATGTGAAGCTTAAGAGTTTAGCAATTAACTAACAATATTTAAAATATTTTGGAAAATATATACAAATTAACTTTTTTAAGAAAACTTAGAACCATCTTTAAGGAAATTTGTATGAAATTGTGCGTAGTTGCAAAGCATAATCTACGCTTAGCTTACTCAAAAGTATCCATTTAACACATAAATATTTATATTGAATATAATTTGGTCATTTCTTAACTAACTAACCCATTCCCGCTCGTTTTTTTCGCCGCCAAACAATTAATTTGAGCATAAAACTTACCTTTGTTAGCAGGACGACAATGTCGACCATTTGGTACTGGCTGCTCGTAAATGCTGGGCTGCCTGGGTGGTTCCACCATCGTCGAGGAGGACGTGGAGTTCGGGACCTGCACCTCCCTGACTGGCGGTTGCTGTGGTGGCAATGGGGGTGGCACTGCCTTTGGTGGGGCAACGTGGAGCAGCTTCGTGGCATGGCCATTGGCAGCGCAAACGACGCCATGCCAATGATGGTTATGCCCCAGCTCAGATGGGACATCCTGGCCCTTCCCCGGCTCCACCACCAGGCAGTCCTGCTCCAGCTCCTGCTCCTGCTCCTGCTCCTGAAGGACTTCCTCCTCGTCACGCAACTGCTGCTGCTTGAGCTGGTGCTCCCGAATGAGGCGATCTCGTTCGTGGAAATGACGGACGAAGGAGTGGTCGCCGGTGTGATTCTGGTGATTCGGGTTATTCTGGTGGTGCTGCGCTGCTTTCGGCGGGGTTAACGACTTGAACGTCTCTGTTTTGGGGGGATACCCGACCAAGCCGGGCGGCAGACTATTAATTAATGTGCCCATTGTCCTTTGCTGGTAATGATGTTGTTGGAACATGATTTCGTGCAGCGGTATTAGAAAGTCTGGCAGGGATTTTTGTCGCTGTTTGACAGATGCCAGCGTCTCCATGCCAAAATACGAGACTGGCAGACATGTCTGGCCATCGCCACTTGCGGAAGTCATCTGCTGGCCAACATCCTTGTTGATGTCCCCGCCGTTGTTGCTATTATAATTATGATATCCAATGCCGTCGGCGGGCCTTAGATACCAGGGATTTAATATTGTTTTGCCACGACAGCTTGTAGCCAGCGCTATAAATCACAGAGAAATAAGTGAAAGCAGAGAAAAGGGTTAAACAATTGTATTTTTATGAACTAACCGAAATGAAGTGAGAATTTCCCAAAAAAAAGTGCTGATAAAATGGGCTAAAAAGGGTAAAAAAAAAGGGGTTTCGATATCATTATCAACACTTGCTGGCTTTTCACCCCTTCGATGGTAAACAGCCCTGTTCCTGCTCCTCCCAACCCCTTTTAATATTGCCAATGGAAACCGTTTATGTCACTACCAATTACTCATCATTATGGAACTTTGATACGCCTTTTTACCTTGTAACCCCCTCTGCACTGCACCCTTTGCCCATTTGGTTACGCTGCTTTTTAGTGGGGGTTGTACGCCATACTCGCTATATCCAGTTTTCAATCAGTTCTTTGTTCTTCGTCGATCTTTTCATTTACGACTTTGATTGATTATGAAATCTGTACATAATTTTCATTTTATAGTTTTTAGATAAGGACAGGAGGGAGTGAAATCCGAACATTTGTTCATCGAAGTGTGGGCGTTGTACGTCATCAGGCTGAGTGACACGCCCTTCGCTCAGCGATGGAGTAACTCTATTAGCTGCATTTTAGGACTACAAATGGAGAGAAACGAGTGGTAGGATAATAGATGACAGAGAGAATAGTCAGGAGTGAATTCAGGGATCTTACTGGGATCTACAAAGTTTCTTACTTATTATTATATTGTTCACCAAAACCATAAAAAGTTTAAAAATAATGTGTGTTTTAAAAATTATAGAAGCTAAAACATTATTTTAACCAACTGGACCTATTTTTATTACAAAAAGTCTCAGAAAGGTTAAGAATTTTCAAAGAATAGGTATAATAAATGACAGAGAGAATACACAAATGATAGGGATCTACGAAAATTTCCTACATACTATTATATTTCCTAAGGTATTCTGACAATATATGTCTATACATGTTCACCAAAAGCATAAAAAGTTAAAAGGATCTATGTTTTAAAAATTATATTAGCTTTTTTAATCAATTAGACCTATTTTTATTTAAAAAAAAGTCTCGGAATGGTTAAGAATTTTCAAAGAATTTGGTTGTTGATTCCTATTTACAAATATAGGCGCCATATAAACCCAAAATAAATTTAGAAAATTTCCCCCTCAACATTTTTCGACCTCCTATTTATTTTCTCGCCAACCACTGCTACCGTATGGCACATGATCACTTCATTGTTGATCATTTATGAGCCGGCACTCAACAGAAAAATACAGAACACTTTATGAATGAAACTTTGACCTATGGCTAATGATGCACAAAAATAAAAAAGCATCAAATACAATTGCCATCGCTTCAAGTCCAGCCGAGGCGACCACAAAATGTTCATTAGAGCGCCCAACACCGTCTGAATAATGAGAGAAGTTCACGAATCACGGGTCCGGGATAATTGTGATTGAAGCCAGTAGTCAGATCGGATCAGAGCCGATGTTATGCGTATTAATTTGATTTATGGCCGGGGTTCAGGTAGAACAAAGCCGGCAAAGCCGCAGGAAAGTCATTTCCCCTTCTTTTCGCCGGCACAGATTGAACCGGATTCTTTAGCATAACAATAAGGAAAATATTAGTTAACGTTTAACCCTCTGTCACCCCTTCGGCTTGTGCCGGCCACGCGACATCTTAAAGATGCAAAAAGGGTTGACACACCGGAAATGGAGCAGAAACATCTGATTCGAGCTGAGCTGTCAATTTAGCTTTTTTAGAGCAATTTCAATTGACTAGCTAAAAAACTGATAGATAATTCTATTTATTATACCCTTGCAGAGGGTATTATAATTTCAGTCAAAAGTTTGCAACGCAGTGAAGGAGACATTTCCGACCCTATAAAGTATATATATTCTTGATCAGCATCACCAGAAGAGTCGATCTAGCCATGTCCGTCTGTCCGTCCGTCTGTCCGTCTGTCCGTCTGTCCGTCTGTCCGTCTGTCCGTCTGTCCGTCCGTTTCTACGCAAACTAGTCCCTCAGTTTTAAAGCTATCTGCTTGAAACTTTCCCAAAAGTTGTCTTTCTATTGCAGGTAGTATATAAGTCGGAACGAGCCGGATCGGGCCACTATATCATATAGCTGCCATATAACTGAACGATCGGAAAAGCCATAACTTTGGTGTTTTTAAAGTTAGGAAGTTGGGATTTTCTATGGGTTTTATTTTTGGCTAATCAATCCGACCTACCAAATTTCATAAGGATCGGACGACTATATCCTATAGCCGCCATATAACTGATTGATCGGAAATGCCATAGCTTTGGTGTTTGTAAAGTTAGGAAGTTGGGATTTTCTATGGGTTTTATTTTTGGCCAATCAATCCGACCTACCAAATTTCATAAGGATCGGCCGACTATATCTTATAGCTGCCATATAACTGAACGATTGGAAATGACATAACTTTGGTGTTTTTAAAGTTAGGAAGTTGGGACATTTTATGAGTATTAAGAATACATCATATGAATAATTTTGGACAATATAATTTATAAAATATTCTGCAAGGGTATATCAACTTCGGCTCCGCCCGAAGTTAGCTTTCCTTTCTTGTTTTTAATCTGTTTTTAATTTTTTTTTTAATATTTTGCATCTATTTAGCAAAAATAATTTTTAATAAATAATTTAGAGAACAGGAATATACCTAAAAATCAGACCATTTTTATTCCTGAACAAATTAATTACAAAATATTTATAAACCAAAAATAAACGAAATAATGTTAATTTTTTTGTTTACCCCTGATAAAGAACATAAAAATTAAAATTTTTAATGTTAATTGATGGACTAGGGCTTACTTTGTATTTGTTAAATGTATAATTTTAATAAAAACAATATTTTTTTTAGTTTCTTAAATTAAAAATAGAAAAATATGTATTTTTTCTAGTATTTTTAATGCTTGCTTATTTTTGCAAACAATAATGTCACCACTGAATGCGAAGCGTGTTTGGGATTATGAAAATGAAATGAGGGCGGGTCGGGTTAGAAAGCTGACTTTCCATAATTGGAAAGGCTTCCTGTTTTCTGTAAATGATTTTTTTTAGCTCCTGTCAATATGCCTGAATGCGCGTGCCAGTCAAGGTCCTTTTGAGAGTGCAATCTGTCGAGGGGAGACTCTCGCTGAAAGATGAAGATCCAAAGGTGAAAGTTTCAATCAAATGAAGGGACCAAAAGGAGTCCTTGCTTGCACAGTTGCCATCGGAGCAGCTGCTTTAGCCGCACAAGCCGCAATTGTTAAAAAACTGAACATTAAATCCTTTTTTCAGGCTCAATTTGCCACTGGTGCCGTGCATCCTTTGGCCCCGTCTCCTAAGCCTCGCAAGCTGTTTCAACCAAATCGAAGGCGCTCCAAGGGAGCCGCCTGCCATCACCATTTCCCCGATTTTTTGGCATTGTTACTTTGTGCGATTATATTTACCTGCAACATGGCGATTAACGCGCATCCTGCTCTACCTGGGCCCTCTTTATTGCTATCCTATGCGCTTTGATTTCCCATTGCGGCAACATCCTTTATCCTTTGTGCTCCTTTGTTGCATGCACCGGCTGGCAAGCACATTAGAAAAAGTGAAAAGCGGGGGGAAGCAAAGGGGCAGCCCCGCAGAAGTGACAGGAGCGCAATGCATTGCCAGTTGGCTTCTTCCCTTCGATCCTTTAAGAATTTTCAATTACGCAATGCCTGCTAAGGAAATTCGCTGAATATCTCTTTTTTCGGTTGATTGAAATGAGTTTTTTTTATGATTTTTCTTTGGAAATATTTTTAATTGAGAAATTGGACCACACAGCAGCAAATGGAATTGAGTTGGCTATTTGTGTGCAGTCTTAAAGGTTATTACAAAATCAGCAGCTCATATGGTTAGAAGTGGTAATAAAGAGAACATTTTTATTGATTTCTTTTGTGTTTTCAATTTTACTCTGTAAAACCAAATTGTGGTGTGTTTATAATGTTTTCAAATTTGGGACCAGTTAGCATACAATTATTTATAGCTGTCTAGAAAAAAAATAAAAATAAATAAAAAAATAAATAAATTCATTAAATTCCATTTACATTGATGCTTTTTATTTTGCAATGCTTGTTGCCACTTTTTTGTTGAGTGCATTGCTTGAAATAAAATTCGGCAAGCAAAAAGTACAAAAATTCGTAAATTGTTTCGCCGATATTAAATTGAAATATATCACTATTTTTAACTCCACAATTTGGTGGTTCGGTTTCTGCAATTATAACTGGTACTATTCCAAGGCCCCCTCTCCACCAATTTCTCTCGGCCTACTGACTGATGTAACGAGTCTATTGCCAGACAAATACGTAACACATAAAAAACGATATAAAATATATACAAAATAAAACCAGCAGATGAGAGAGTTAAAAACCATTTAGAAATGTTTGCATTATAATTGCGGTGATTATTTCGGAACGGGGTCATTAACATGTGACATTCAAACAAAAATAAAGCAAACAAATCCGAAAAGAGTCCGAAGAGAATCACTCTGGGATGAGATCTCTGGAGAGCGATAAAATAGTTAAATCAGCATTTAGGGCAGCGAGAGCTTTCTAGACTGATAAGGGGTTTTTTTGGAGAATCGCGGTTAATTGAAGAATGCCAAGATTTGTGCGGAAGATTCAGCCGTTCTAAGGTAGAAGCATAAATTGTGCCACTAATGCGGTTTCTGTGGTGAATCCGAGTGTGAGTTGTATTACCTCAGCCACTGAAGCGTGTGCTCCCTCCCCTCCGACCCGAATGCCCCCCTTTTTGCTTTTGCCAGATCATGATTGTATAAATTGCCAAAGCGCGTTGCCAAAAAAGTTTAGAACTTTTCCGTCTGCGGCCGGGCGCGCAACTCCAGTTTAATTATTGCTCTCGAATCGTGTGTATTTGAGTGGAGTTTGGACCATGGTCAACGCTTTGTGGGCCACGTTAATATCGCTCATTTTAGCCCATCGTGTTTTCGCCAACGATCTATTTTTCCTGCCACCCACCACCATCCAGAAAGAGGAACTGCTTGAGGACTATGGCAAATTCCTGCTGTCCACCATGAACAGGAGCGTCGATCCCTGCGAGAACTTCTACGAATTCAGCTGTGGCGGTTGGAAAAAGGCGGAACTGGTACCGGAACAGGCCAGGAATACCAGTTTTCTCCACGCCATCCAGCACAAGATCGACGAGCAGGTCCTGGGATTCCTGCAAAATGCCACCAAAAGGGAGCTGGATGACTTGGGTGTCAATGGCACAAGGTCGGCGGAGGTGAAAGCCAAACAATTCTACGCCAGTTGTGTGGAAATGAAGGCCAACTTGTCATTGGGCTATCAGTATTTTCTGGATCTCGATGAGGATCGTTTGAGGAAGAGCAACGCGACTTACGATTGGATGTACATAAACTTCATGTCCAAATACGATATATATCCCCTGCTGCCTCTAAAAGTGCATTATAGTACCTCCTCCAGGAAGTTTGATCTACTGCTAACGCTTCCCAGTAAAGTTCTGGCCGGTATAAGTGAAGAGCAGCTGAAAAACATGACAAGAGAGTTTGGTTTGGATACCAGTGCAGACAAGGTTAAACAATTTGTGGAGAACTTTAACAACCTCACACAATTCGAAAGGAATTTGATTTCAGTAATCAAATCGCGAAATGAAACGGAGCAGTTAAATTACAAGGACTTCCTGGCAAAACACAAACACGATCGCTTGAACTGGACTCGCTTCTTTGAGCTGGCCTTCAATGGCAGTCAGGAAGGCCACTGGCCAGTGCTCAATCAACTGGATAATGTCAACGACTTGGTTTTCTTTCTGGAGCAAGCCAATCTGGAAACGCTTAAAGGTTATATTAAAATGCGAGAACTGCTCAAGTTTTATGGCTTGTGGAAAACTCAAACGAAAATAGGCGGAGTTCAAAATGAATGCCGCTCTTTGTCGGAAACGTACTACAATTTCGCTCTGCTGCCCTGGTTCATTGGTAAGGTGTTCGATAAGGAGAGACGTGCTGATATCCTGGGTGTGGCCAAGGACATCAAGGACACGTTTTACGATCTCTTGGACCACCATACCTGGTTGGATGATGAAACCCGATCGCAGGCCAAAACCAAGCTGGCTTCAATGGATATTTTAGTGGGTTATACGGATGATCTGCAGCATCGCGAGGTGATTGATGGGGTGTACACTGATATCAACATGACAGGGAACTGGTTTGAGAACCTGTGCATCATGGAAGGCAGTCGAGCCCGGATACGTCTGCGATCGGTGGATAAGGCATTGATTCCCCTTCTCATGCCCACGAGATCAGTGAATGCATATTATGCAGATTTCCTAAATCTAGCCTTCATCACCATTGGAATGGCCCAGTGGCCCTTTTACCATTTGGACTTCCCGGATGTGCTGAAATACGCCGGAGTGGGTAATATTATTGGTCATGAGATGGCCCACGGCTTCGACTCCTACTGCTATCAGTACAACTATGATGGCAAGAAGACCAACTGGTGGTCCACAGCTTCTCTGAGGAACTTCAAAGAGCGCTATCGCTGTCTGGAATCGCAGTATAATAAGTTCATTCTGATGGGCATCCAAACGAATGGCACTCTCACCTCTGGCGATAATATTGCCGATAATGTTGGCACCCGAATGGCTTACTATGCGTTCAAGCGGAAAACTGGCGACAAGGCTTGGTCGGAAAAACCACTGCGGGGAGTGAACTTCAACAACAAACAGCTGTTCTTCGTGAAGTTCGCCCAAACCTGGTGCAATGGGAAGGATAATGGCGAGAAGATCAGGAGACTGAGGACCGATGTCCACGCCTACGACGAGTTTCGGGTTCAGGGCACCCTGAGCAATATGCCCGAGTTTAGCGAGGCTTTCAACTGCAAACTGGGCACGGAAATGAATCCGCTCAAGAAGTGCGTGGTATGGTGAAATAAAGTTGAATGGGAAAAGAGAACAGGGGGCTATTGCTTTTATTTATAGAGTTTATAGGTGGCAAAATATTAGAAAATAAAAGTACCAGAAATAAATGGTAAATATTTAGATCAAATATTTTCAAATATAGTAGATTTCATTTTGATCATACAATAATAATATGTTAAACCAAAAATTAACATTAATAAAGTTTACTTTGCTAATAGTTTTTAGTTTGTTTACAAGAATGTTTCACCACGGCAGTGTTTTCAGAAAATGGAGCTCAAAGTTTTTAATTTTTAAACTTTAATAAAAGGCAAACCGAATTTTGTCTCCGAAATATAATATGTTAATAACTTGGCCAAGTGAAACTGTTGGTTCTCTTCCGAAACAAACTTTTGTTTTTGTTGAGTGAGAATTCAAAGAGACTGTAGGCCACAAGCCAAATAGTTGCAATGATTTCTTATAATCATTCTGCCTCAAAATTCGATGCAAATAAGATCAATATAAATAGTTTGTCTTTGGTATCGTTTGAGAAATTAAAAATCAAATAATTTTGTGTTAGTCTGCCCCAATGAAGACTTAATTTACTCATCCAGAGTTTATAGCTGCCCCAGTGCAATCAGCGATTTCTTGGTTCTTCTGCCGGCAGAAAATCGATTTTTCTCGGACTAAACTGACGCCCCCCACTTGGAACAGCTGATGGCCATCGAATAGAACAGAAACACTAATTGATTTGATGCAGAACCTGCTGCAGGAACGTCCTCCCACCGGCAATGGGTTCTCGAACTGTGGGCGGGTCCCGGCAATATTTGTCTTTTGACTTTGCAGCGATGACACCTTTCTCATTACGAATTAATGGCATTTTCGGCCCGAAAACAAAAGGTGCAACAAAAGAGCAAGAAGAAAGTCACCGGGTACAAGAAAAGGTGCAGAAAGTGAGGCTTCGGCCGAAAACCGTTGGCATGTTCTGTTTTTCTCAAAAAGAAAAACAGTTTTTACTATCATTAGTCGTCACTTGAGAGTCAGATACGGGGAACAAAAACCAATGCGCTCTGGCAAAGGAGTCAAAAGGAAGCCAAACCGTTGGATCGAGGCAGCGGCCTGCATACGAAATAAGGATATGTATTTGCTTAAGGATATTCGGGCTTATCTCGGGCGTCCGAGCGGCGGCCTAACGGATTTTCGAGCATTTGTTATGGATTTTCGGCGCCAGGTCTCTTATTAGCTGGCCAACAGGCAGGTAACTGATCCCGCTGCCTTTTGCATCCTCGCAGCGGGATTCCTGCTGACTCCTGGCAGGTCGTAAAAATCCTGCTCATGCATTGCAGATAGATCATTAATTTAATGGCCTTTGTGCACTGTGAAATGCAAAGTGCACTGCCGTGTATACGGATACCCACGTCACACAACTGATCGTGGAGGTGGTCTTCGGGCAAATCAAATTGCGAAATCTCCCAGGCTGGGAAATTCGAGACTGCAGTGCTCTATCTCATAATTGCATTTACCCTGCACAATGGACCAGTCAAATTAGCCATCATTTGTAATCTTCTAGCACAGGTTCCTCGGTCTCTGCCCCCTCCTCGTCCACCTCAACCCCTCCCCCCACTTGATCGCATTAATTCCATTTATGTAAACCATTGCAGAGAGGGCTTGTCGCAAGTAATTCGAAAGGCGTAGACGGTGTAATAAAAAATCAACTTGCTCGAGAAGTTCCTGGGGAGCGGAGGGGGTGGGTCCAGGCTGGGTGGGTGATGTACGGTGATGTACGGGATTGGGGCCATGGCGGGAAATATGGCCAGGATGAAGGGTTGTCGGGTGGCCATTGGAAACTTAATTTACTTCAATTTTTCCAAATAATTCTATGAATTGCAAATGGTTTTACTAAAAGTTAATAGAGTACAAAAATTAGGCCCTTTTGATCGTCTCAATGGTAAGTTTAAAAAGGTTTTACACAGGGAAAAATTAGGTAAGTATGTATTATTGTAAAATTGTTTATAATAAGACTTTAAAAAAGTTCTGATAATATTATCTTATTAATAAAGAAGAATTCTAGGCCAAAGAGTTGTGTTTCTTGAATAAAAATCAGCTTCAATAGTTTGTTTCTTTATATTTAATTATAACAACTTTTATTTTTATGGCAATATAATCTTGTACATATTTATATTTTACTTAATGTTGCTTTTGTATTTTGTATTTTGTATTTTGTGAAAGTAAAAGTAGATTTTAAAATGCAATGTAAAACAAGAAAGGAAAGCTAACTTCGGGCGGAGCCGAAGTTGATATACCCTTGCAGAATATTTTGTAAATTATATTCTCCAAAATTATTCATATGATGCATTCTTTATACTCATAAAAAATCCCAACTTTCTAACTTTAAAAACACCAAAGTTATGGCATTTCCAATCGTTCAGTTATATGGCAGCTATAGGATATAGTCGGCCGATCCTTATGAAATTTGGTAGGTCGGATTGATTGGCCAAATATAAAAGCCATAGAAAATCCCAACCTTCTAACTTTACAAACACCAAAGTTATGGCATTTCCGATCAATCAGTTATATAGCGGCTATAGGATATAGTCGGCCGATCCTTATGAAATTTGGTAGGTCGGATTAATTGGCCAAATATAATACCCATAGAGAGTCCCAACTTCCTAACTTAACAAACAGCAGAGTTATGGCATTTCCGATCAATCAGTTATATGGCAGCTATAGGATATAGTCGGCCGATCCCGGCCGTTCCGACTTATATACTGCGTGCAAAGGAAAGAAGGGTGTGTGCAAAGTTTCAATTCGATATCTTTAAAACTGAGAGACTAGTTCGCGTAGAAACAGACAGACGGACAGACAGACGGACAGACGGACATGGCTATATCAACTCAGGAGGTGATCCTGATCAAGAATATATATACTTTATAGGGTCGGAGATGTCTCCTTCACTGCGTTGCACACTTTTGACCAAAATTATAATACCCTCTGCAAGGGTATAAAGATAAATCTACGGATATTTGAATTTTAACTAAAAAAAATGTATCTAAAAAATGTTTATCTTTTATCCTATATATAAATCTACGGATATTTAAATTTGTACTAAAAAAATGTTTATCCTTTTCTGTTTATTAACTCAAATTTCATTGCAGACCTATTAACGTTTTCTGAGCCCCAATTAAAATGATTTTTTTATTCGTTATTAATTTTTAGTGGTTGACCTGACAACCCTATGACTTCGCGTACTGTGTAAACAACTTGCCAAAACCATGTTTCCATAATTACATGCAGAATGCCTTTTATGCCACGGCAACCTGCTTCCGCCGCTTAGCCCATAATGCCTCATCCACCTCAGCCCAGCCTCAACCTTCACCCATCACCCCTTTCCACATCCCCATCCACATCCACAGTTAGCCAACTGGCTGACCCACCATGCTCATCCTCATCCTCATCATCGTCCTCGTCATCATCTCCACCATCGCAGCAGAAATTGAACAAAAGGGGCGTCGTCGCAGGCCAGGCTAAGAGTTAAGCTTAGCCAGGCCAACAGTCAGGTAGGAACTACCAAAACAGTTGCACTTGCCGGGGATTTTCGGGAGGGGATTTGTGGCGGGAAGCGGCAGGAATCCATCGGTGCACTAGCTGCCAAGTCGGGTGTTCATGGTGAATTATGAAAATCGTTGCGAAATTAAGTTAAGAACTTTTTTCAGCTTAGCAGGAAGCAAAAAGGCAGCAGCAGTGGAAGTTGCAAATGGATATGGCAGCGTGAGGAGAACGTGAGTAGCTGCATTTTTAATTTTGTTGTTTTTATAAGATAAGAAAAAAAAAAAATTTAATAATTATTTATATTTTTTAAATTTATATTAATTTAAAATAATATACATTTTTTGTCAGCATTAAGCCTTAAGTATTATGTAGTATCTTATAAGATCGATTCATCCATCAATTACAATACAAAGGAGTATCAAAACTGACAGCTCAGAAAATCAATAAAAAGGTAATAAAACACAATAAAAGATTTGGCGATTATAGATCGCGAATATGAAGGCAATATTTAACTCGCTCAAAAGTATTAATATTCTTTAATACTGTAACTATTTTGAGTTACTTGTATTTTCCTGTAAAACCCTTAAAACTGGTGGTCACGCTGCCACCGCTGAGCTCCTGCAACCATTGGACCTTTGGCTTTATTAAATGGAGATGATCAATTTAAATATTTTGCAATTGTGGTTGCCGGTGATGCGTGAGCACCCTGACCCTCAGTTTTGGCGGTGTCCGCCACAAGAAGCCACCGCAGCTGGAGCAGGAGCAACATCATTGGAGTGGGGCAAATGCTTGCGGATCTTGATGCAACCTGCTGCTGCTGCTGCCGATGCTGCCGCCTCCTCTCGATTTGTATAAAAAATGTGCTTCATTTTATTTGGCCGCGACCGGCGTCCGCCTCCATGGGTAAACGCCCCAACTTTCAAGCCCTCAAACTGCGAGTCCCCCAACTCCGAAAACGCAGGCCAGCCGAAAATGCAGCCAAACAAATCGCATGTGGATCGCATGGATCGCTGGCGGCCCATGGCTTCTGCTGGATTTTCTGTATTTTCGCCAACGATTATCTAAATTGCATACGAAATTATTTTAATTAAAAATCTAATTTTCTTAGCCGCCTTACACGGTGCAAGGCAACCTCTTTTTTCGTTCGCTTTTTGGATCAAATGGAACTCCTTCCTCTCAAGGAAATTTTCGATTACCATATATTGATCTGAAAACGCTGGAAATTTTCGGTGCCGTTGACTTGTTTGTTCAATGAACCTTTAATTTGACGCGATTAAAATGATATTAGTGGTGGACGTCACATCTGTTGCAAAGGTTTTCCTTCGGCAATTTCTTAAACCTTCCCTGTAGAAGGTGTGAAGATGTGACGGCGTCAGCTGGGGCTTCATCTTACCAAACGTGACCGTTTATTGATTAATGATGCATAATTTGGTGGGGAATATTAGTCGGGTCTTGGTTAATTGACGCCTTTCCGGTATGGTTTCTTTTAAATAAGATCAGTAAGGGTTGAAGAAGTCAGAAGCACATAAAACTATTGCTTTGAAGAGGAATGTTGCTGCATTTTAAATATTTTTATTTAAAACCATTTTTTTGTTTTGTCATTTATGGTCACCCTATACATATTAAAAATGATTTGATAAACATTTTTGAATTCCCTCCTTATTAAAATGTTTCAGAAAGTGCTCTGAATTGTTTGTTAAGAAAAAGTAAATATAATCCATTTTAGTATGTTGATTGGAACTATAGAATGTTATATAGATTTTCAGAAGGTCATTTCAGAATCAGGGTTTTGTACAATATTTAAAATGCTTTCACAAAATTTTCTTGACAGGAAGACGGATGATAAAATAAGAATATTTTACAAATTTATTTTAGTTAATTTAAGGAAGAATAGTTAGTTACAAATGTAACAACAAATGAGCTTGCAGCATTTAATATTTCCTAAGAATTTGATAAGCAAATGTGAAATGCATTGTCAGTGACAAACCGTTCTACTCCTCTGAAAATAAAAGCTATTCATTAAATATTAAAGAAATCATTTCCCTACCATCTCGAATCGTACTCATCTTCAGAAGCTGAGAAATCCCCAGTTCAATGCGATTCAATCAACCACCAACCGATGCATAAAATTTAAATAAATGTTTGATTTGAATTTAATTGCTGCGGCAGGCAGAACCCGTCTGAGTTCCGTCAGAGAACCTCGATTGAATATAAATCAAATGCAACCGACAGCCGCACATCAGCGTGGATCAAAGGGACGCGCTAATCACACGCTGGGCCAAATAGGATCTAATTTCCACACAAGAAAAACCCATTTTTTACATGAGGAGATCGACAAAAGATCATATGGAGATGCGTTTATAGAGAGATCAGGTGCAGTCGTTGAGCATTCAAATTTCGCGCATCTCGGGAAGACAAATGATTGAGCAGGTAAGACAGGTAGAGGAGCTGGCAGGTAGCCCAACCATTTCAATTTGAATTTCGACAATAATTAAGCGCAACAATGGATTTATTGAGTTTTCCTCATCCACAACCATCGAATTGCTTCTGCGGTCCACGATGCCAGCGAGCCTACAATTAGTTGGGAACTCAAGAAGACCCTATCCTAGACCATTCCCTCCGATCTTGTGGCAGTTGCAATTATCATAATTATTTTCATTCATGCGGCGACGCATTGAGCATCTCCGACTGACAGTTCATCTCTCCCTGGTGGAGATTGGCGAGATAAATCCGAGTCTGCCCTGAATGAAATGTCTGAGTTCCTAACGCCGTTTCCCTTTTGTTATCCCGGCCTTATGTTCTCACAGATCCCAGTTGCAGAAGTTGGGAAGAGGATGTTTTCTTTTTCTTTGCATTTCCGGCACTTGCTGGCTGGAACTGCACTTATTTTGAATACCCTTTTGTGGGGAATGGGTTTATGCCTGTGATACTTCCTGAGATCTTGATGGAAGTTGACTAAAATAAGCTGAAAAGACTCCAGAGCTCTTTGATATTTATTTAGTCAGATTGTTATTGATTTAATTTGTTTTCTCAATAATAAAATATAAATTATATATTTATTTCAATAAAAAAAGTGTAAAGAGTGTTACATCATTTGGACGAGTGGAGTCGAACTTTCAAAACTCTAATCAAAGAATTGTGCCTTTTAGTTAAGTTAACTTTTCTTAAAATCATACATGGAAAACTTAATCATAATATTTGTGATAAATAACTTTGACAAAACGAATAATTTGTATTACATTTATATATTAGACATATATATTTACTCATACAATCTTTGAATTGCATCTACCAGCTTGCTTTACCATTTCCCCTGATGTATTTGCCGTTGATGTGCCATTGTGTGGCACTGGCTCATTTATGGCAAATTATTGTTCAAATCGTAATGGGAAGCTTGCTTTAGACTTGGGTGATGGATCGCCTCAAATGCTAACGATCTTGGGCCTAGATGAATATCACGAACATCTAACAGAAAATCTAATCAAAGAAACCAACCTCGGTGAGTTACATTTGGTTAAATCGACTTTAATTTCCGGTCGCGTGTTGGGATTTTTTTGGGATTAAACTCCCCTCCCTTTGTTTTACTTTAAATTTTTGATAATTGCGCACTTAAAGAGGTTTGATTTTTTGTGGGTTTTGCATGTCTGACGAGCATTTCCGAGCTGGAGCAGAGGAAATGGATTTACATATGAAGATGAATGGTAATGAGTCAAATTTAAATATGCTTAAATTGGGGTTTCGGTTCGCTTGCCTTTGAATACAATTGAGGTCACAAGAAGTGTTTTCGTGTCCCCCGAGTGAGATCATCAAACGGCAAAATGGCAATTTCAATAATCGAAAGAAAACAAGATGTTGCAACCCCTTTTTGGGTTGAGCAGGAGCAACAGGATGTGCGGCACCCTCTTCAACCCCTTGTGGTTCTTCTCGTCCTTGTCCCTTAAGACGGATGAAGTGTTTGACAACCCTTTCAATCTTCATAAATGTTCGCACTCGTGGCACAGGGCGTCTCTGTTGCAATATTAGCTTGGCTGCCGGGTCCCTTGTGTCGCATCCTTTTTTTCGACTATCAAGATGACGGCGACCTTTTGCCAATAAAAAATGAAATCTGTTTCGATGCATAAAAAATTGAAAATCCCATAAGCATGCGTTTGGCACGAGTTTTTCTTTGGCAAAAGGGGTTCCCCCTTTTCTTGAGGCTTGTTTCTTGGGCTGAAGGCTATGAAAAATGGCCGGGTTCTTGTTAACACGTTGTAAATACCTCATTTTTCACTTAACGGGTTTTTAAATACACATATGCATTTGAGTGGAGGCTTTTGGGCAGGGGAATTGGGAGGTAAAATGAAAAAAAGGGGACGTATATCAGGCTGTATACAGCAAACTATAGTTTGCAAGGTGGCTATGTTATTGTTTTTAAAATGACCATTAAAATATAAATGTTTAAATATGTTATATAAACGTAAGCTATTACGTTTAAGGGAATATTCAGTTTTTAATAAATCTTTAACTTTTAACTTTAGTTACACTTCATAACTTGATTACCAAACATTATTTAATTAAACTTTTAATATCTGTTGGTTTCTTAATTATGTATTTTGTATTAGATTATATATGTTGATTTTTATACCCTTGCAGAGGGTATTATAATTTTGGTCAAAAGTGTGCAACGCAGTGAAGGAGACATCTCCGACCCTATAAAGTATATATATTCTTGATCACGATCACCTCCTGAGTTGATATAGCCATGTCCGTCTGTCCGTCTGTCCGTCTGTCCGTCTGTCTGTTTCTTCGCAGTTTTAAAGCTATCGAGTTCAAACTTTGCACACACCCTTCTTTCCTTTGCACGCAGTATATATGTCGGAACGGCCGGGATCGGCCGACTATATCCTATAGCTTCCATATAACTGATTGATCGGAAATGCCATAACTTTGGTGTTTGTAAAGTTGGGAGGTGGGAATTTTCTATGGGTTTTATATTTGGCCAATCAATCCGACCTACCTAAATTTCATAAGGATCGGCCGACTATATCCTATAGCTGCCATATAACTGAACGATTGGAAATGCTATAACTTTGGTGTTTTTAAAGTTAGGAAGTTGGGATTTTTTATGAGTATTAAGAACGCATCATATGAATAATTTTGGAGAATATAATTTACAGAGTATTCTGCAAGGGTATATCAACTTCGGCTCCGCCCGAAGTTAGCTTTCCTTTCTTGTTAATGTTGTTGTCATGAAACCCTAATATATATTATTAAAAAAGGAAAACAAAAAGGGATCAATAAGTTAAGAATAAGCGAACATTTTTGGATTCTATGTATTTACATTAAACAAATTTAATTTAAAAAGCTTAAGCCGATTTGGATGAAAATTATCTTATTTATCGATTTCAGAATTTCGGTTTAACATTTAAAAAATCGGAGGACTATATTATATCAGAAAGTCAACCTAACTTAATTGTTTTTGAGTATATAAATCGAAATATTACATATTTGTAGCAACTGCAAGGGTATAAATTCTACGGCTTGCCGAAAATTGGTTGTTTAACCCAAAAATAGAACCTTGATATTCGAAGTTTCGATAATGAGCTAACACAATTGGGAGTTTCTGACAAAGTAAAAATGTTTACAATTAAATTTCTTGAAACATGTAGTATTTTATTGATTTTTGTATTAATTTATTATTTAAATAAAATATTCTACCCACTATCACTTTCCAAAACCCAGTTTGCAACTCATAATATTTAATTAAACATATTTAATAACATATTCCCAGCGTTTGAGCCCCCTGCCCATGTATGGCTTATTAAGCTTGCAACATATTCCCATTCCCATGAGAGGGGCAACTCACCTGGTGCTGATGCTGTCTGCTGGTGGTTCATGGGATTGCAGGTGACTCTCTCTGGCGGCGACTCCATGAATTCCTGCTTGACTTGAATCTGCGGGAGGCGCAGCGATCCCTCAAAAGACTCCTTGGTGGGTGGAACTGGTGGGCAGTTGTCTTTAGGGTTAAAGCCATTCAAATGGCCAACGTTAGCGGCATAATTAGCCGCTGATGCTGCCATTGCCGGCAGTTGCAGTTGATCGTCGACTAGAGTTGCTGAAACGCCTTGGCCAGTAATTTGAACATTAACACCTGCCGCCGATGTTGCTGCTGCCAGGCAATGAGTTGCTGCTGTCGGCGACGTCAGCAACATGGCTGTTGCAGTTGCTGCTGTTGCTGTTGCTGCTGTTGCTGCTGTCGAGCTCAAGCGTTGATGATGGGAATTGTCGGCGAGTGTTGTTGCCAGCAGTAATGGCATAGTTGTTGCTGCCGCCGATGTTGCAGTTGCTCTTGTTGCTGCTGTTGCTGCCGTTGCGTTGCAGTTCGTCAGCAGCAAATTGCGTCGCTTTGATTTATGGGAACCTCTGCTGCTCCTTGCTGCCTGTGGCGACTTGTTTGCCGCTCCGGTTGCTGTCTCAGATTATGATATTGACCCATGGACCGCTGGCGATATATATTCCTGCCTCCTGCCTGCAAACGGTCGATAATTAAAAATGTCTTCTTCTGCTGAAAGCTTAATTTGCTGTTAAGTGCATTTTAAAAAGCTGTTATTAAACATATAACGCAGTGATCTTTGTTACTCGATAGCGGAAGTAATTGATTTTCCCTTAACATTCCCCATTTCCACCTGACTTAGGACTGTGGATCACGTTGCAGCTGAAAACAGTGACATGGTTTGATTTTGAACTGATGTTTGCATACGAATTTATTGCCTAGATTACTCAGTTTCATTTAATAGATGGTTCATGAGTAAGTCGGTCTGTCTACGCCTTTCGCGATTAACAAGTTTGTATTTCGATAGGACTTTGTGAGAGGGTAGGTCTGAAAAGGTTGGAATTGTTCTTACAAACGTAGGCCAAAACTATCAAATTCTTCAAAAAGGTTTATTAATATCTATATCCTACTACAAAGATTTCTTAAAAACTGATATGACTCAACGGTCAGCCACTAATTCTTGTAGAAGCAATCGAAATTATCTACAAATTTTCTTTTATTAAGAGTGTGCTGATTTTGGAACTATATAAATTAAGATAATGTAGAATACAGGATATTAAAATCGCTATCAAAATGTAAAAAGATAACATACTTTCCTTCTCCAAATTGCTTATGACCAGTCCAAACAATTTCTTTAAAATTTCCCATGGCCTATCAAATCAGCTCCCACAGCTCTAAAGTGGTTGTATAAAATTTTACAGCAGTAAATATCATATAAGGCACTAAAACCTCAACTTTGTATTATTATGCAAACAAAAATGGAAAGAAAATGGGCAAACTGACGGGCATATTTACCAATTGTGGCTTGAAACGAAATTGTTGTAAATTGAAAACAAATTGAAGTCAAATGTGATAAGGGCCCGAGGAAGAACTGGGTGGGAGTCGAAAAATCACAGCTAAAGGCGATGAAATCAAAGGAAATATAAATGGAAAATTAAACTACATCGAGGAGGAGAACGAACTGCGATGACGATCAAATGCCCCGAACAACAAGTCACCTCGCAGATAAGATATGGCGCTGAAAAGTGCATCGAGTTTATGGAAATGGTGAGGAGGGGGCATTTACATACATAACCTTAACCATTTATAGAGGCGGGACGGGGCAACTAACATTAATGGCACTTGTAAACAAATCAATTGAGTTGTCAGTATCGACGGCAAATTGGCCACAGCCAAAGTGCCACACGAAGATTGTTTATCAATTTTGCCAGTCGGTAAATTATGTTCTTTGCATGTCAGCAACCAATTGCCAGGAGTCGATATACCGGCCACATCAAAGTGGCCGCCGACTAAATGCAGTCGCTTTTTCCCCACTGCTACTTTCAATAATTCCCAATCGAGCCGGTAATTTCTTATTGGCCCGATATCGGGGTTTTCGCTATTTTTGTTTAACTTTATCTTGTTTTAAAATTAAACACAATTGCTTACTCCAGTTGGGATCGTATCGCCTATCGTATAATACCGAACATTGCGATTGTTTGTCTCCAATTTGAAATGTGTGTTTTTATAATTTCCCATTGGGTGTACACAGTTTGGTTGTAAAGATACGGGGCAACTAAGTTGATGATGTGATTTGTCGACTTTTGGTTGAGAAATTGTTTGTCGTGATTATCGAATCATTGCCAGGAGTGGAACAGTTTAACAGCTCATAAAAATACGAGATAGTGTTACCATAACACACAATCAATTTAAAAATAGTTATATGTATTTAGAAATAGACAACAATGTAATTTAGTAAAAGGTATTGTTCAAATTGTTTAATAATAATTTAGTCATTACTAGTTTATTATTCGTTATTGACAAACTTTAGATAGTATTCATTAATGTAATGAAAATTCGGTTTTAATTGAGGCGGTTTACAAAATAAATATTAAAATGCTTAGGAATATTTTAGAATTAATACTCATGAAATGATGAATTGATTACTAAAATAAAATATAATTTTTTAGATTTCTATATGACAAATGTTTTGTAAGCTACCAAAAGAGCAGACAAATATTTTTATAATTTATATTAGAAAATTGAAAAACTCGAATTTGAAATCATTTCATCGGAAATAACTTCAAGACAACTACTTTTTCTGGTATTAAGAAATTAAGGATTAAATATGATTAAAATTATTATTAATCTTAAGTAGAGGGACTCGAACTTTTCCTTTTAAGGTTTGCCTTAAAGTTGTCAAAATCGGGTTAGGGCTAGCGAAAGTCTGGCTAAGATCTCTGATGGATTTAGTTCGGCTGTCTAGCTGCGACTGTCAGCCATATCGGGACACTTGTTGGCCCTCAAACACATATGGCCAATTAAGGACGCAGAAATACAGGCACACACTGGGGACGACCTCATTAAGAATCTGACAAGCCAGAAGAAACTATGCCCCTCGATTCTCCTGCAGCTGGATTTAGCTGATCCATCGATCCAATTGAGTGTGGGCGTTACAAGACAAGCTCCTTGACACACTCATACGGTCTCAAAAAGAGGTAAACTTACTTGGGCTGGATGATGGCGCACCTCCTTCGTGGTTTTTCACTTTTTTATGTTTAGTTCTTTCTGTCTCGAATTATAATTTAATTGTTTATTTTGCCACACTTTTATAAATTGTAATTGCCAACGAGAATCGCGACAGCTTCACGCCCTTTCTTGATTTTCTGTGGCCAGGTGAGGTGAGGTGATCTCTGCCTTTTGGGACAATTCTCCGAGACACGCTTTTTGATTGACTTCCGACAAACGACTGACTTAAAAAAACGCGCAAGGAGATATGGGCAAAAAGTAAAAAAAAAAAAAGAGTAAAAAAAGAGAAAGAGCAAAAAGAAGCCAAGTTCGCGACGACTTCCGACGACGTCCGACGTATCCACAAAATGTCAAGCGAGTACAAAAAAATACTTTTTTTTTATAGAAGATGTTGGAGAGAGTGAGTGAGTGTGTTGGGTTGCCTGCGATTGTGTGTGTGAGGGGGTGGAAGGGGGACTATAAAACAGGTGGAGGGGGTGGTGCGTGGGTGTTTTGGGGCGTTTGACTTCGTTTTTCTTTCTTCTTTCTCTCGCTGCTTTTTTTGCAGGAGGTTTTAAAATCAAAAGCGTGTATTGTGTGGGTGGGATATGGCTGTCTGTGTGTGCGGGTTTTATATACGTATATACGGGTGGGTGGCTCTTATCGGATTTCGAATTATGTATGTATTGACTGCCGCTGCTTCTGTGCGCTCAGGGGAGAAATAATATGGGGGCTCCTAAGTTGATTTGAAAAATTCCTTTGAATGGGATGGAAAATGGGAAAAGAAGAGGGAATTACGAGTGACTGAGAATTCAAAAGCATAAAAATCTTTGTATGTATATAGGGTCTTAAAATCATATATAAATTTAAATAATGTATGTAAGTATGTGAATATATTTTTATAAATTAAGCAAACTCAAATTTTTAAGGCTTTCAAGTGTCAAGTAAAGAAAGTAAAAAAGACAAATGACCTACTTAATTTTGTAAGAGTTAAAAAAATATAATGAGTTAATATTATTACAATTATAATAAAAGTGCTAAGAATTATTGATTATAAATATTTGTAATTTATATAAAAGCAACGTATGTAGAACATTTGCTTTAAATTATTTCCTTGTTTAGTTTCCTGCATATTTTAATTAAATTACTTTTTATTCGCAACTAAAAAACTGTCTTCTTAAAACTCGAAATCACTTTTCTATTTGTGTTATATTAACCTTAAAACTCGTTGTAGAGACGACTCAAAGTTCGATATATTCCTTTTAAAAAAAAACCTTCCGACGGCATTGCACTTGTCAGAAATGTCGCCACAGCATAGCTTGCGTTACGCATACGCCCCGTTAAGCGACTCGAAAAATCTGCAAAGTAAAAAAAAAGTTGGCATTGCAATGATGGCAGAACCGAGAATTATTCGCTGCGCTGTCAAAATGCGTATGTCAAGGCAAAAAAAAGCAAATGAAGTAAGAAATCCAACAGAAACCGATGAAGCGACCACAAAACGGCGGCAAAAGGCAAAAAGCGATAAACGCATAAATTAAAATAATTACAAGAGGCGTCCTTAGATGGTTGTTGTTGCTGTCACGCACACACGGCTAGTTAAAAAGACGAGAAAAAAACAAGAAAAGTTGCGAGAACGACCAGCGACAATCGACCAACGGAGTGGCAACTGAAAAACTGCAATTGAATGCAACTTGACCAGGCCACAGCAGCTAGAAGAAGAGCAGTACTAGCTGAATAAAAGAAAGAAGAAGCAGCAGCAGCTTGTAACTATGGACTGCAAGAAAAACTTTGAAATCTGTTTCTATATACATTTATGTAGTAATTGGTTTTTATTAAATAAATGTTGGTCAAATAAATTTTGTTTATAATTTAATATTTTTTTAAGTTTGTCAAACATATAATGCCCTATCTTAAACAAATACCTTTTTACCATTATTTTAAGCTAATTTTTCCCTAGTATCAAATAATCTCTGAGTGTAGAACCAGCATCAGCAGATTTTTCTCATTCGGCAACTTGGGATCCACATTGTTGCAACAATGTTGTTGTTGCGCTGCTGTTGATTTTATTCAAAATGGTTTGTTTATGCCTGAACAGAGAGAGTGAGAGGAGGAAGAGGTAAATATCTTGGCTGGGGAAATATCCATATCCACAAGCCCGCTCTCTCCCATTCACCCACACACACGCAAAGTGGGCAGCCGGCAGCCAATCGTCTTGGAGCTTTGGCGCTCTCCGCGGCGCATGCTCGCTCTCTCTTTCGCCGCTTTCTTGAGTTTGTGTGCGAATTCGCCGCAGCGTACAGATGCTGTGAAAAAGAGAGAACGAGCGAGGCCCTTTACCTTTTGACTTTGCCTTTGGAAGCAGCGGCTGCTAATTTCCGTTCATTAAAGTTGGCAGCGTCTCGCTCACTATTCTATATGTGCCACACCCCCTTGTGTCCCGCCCCCTCCGTAGTCCTTAAAGTTATTTCGCCTCGGCCGCAACTTTAATTTCATTGATTAGCGCCGAGGAAATTCCCTCCTTGGCCCTTTTATTTTTGGTTTGTCACTTCTATTCACTTGTCTGCCTGTCTGCTTGTGTTTTGGTTTCCTTAACGGCTCCCTTCCTCTCCCCCTTCTCCACTATCTTTTTTGTATTTTCTGTTTTGTAAGCATTTAAGATGTCGCTGTTTTGCGATGGTTAAGACCAACTAAACGATGGGTTTTTGGCCTGAAAATAAAATAGTTTGTGGGGGTAGGTTCTGGGAAGTGTGCGCAACTATTCATGGAATAGCCATTTAGTAATCTTAAGATAGTTGTGAGATAAAGGAGTTGGGAGGAACAATAAACATTAACATTAAAGCAGTTAAATTTGGGCGTTTTTATAATTTCTACCTTTAATGCAATTTGCATTTAGAAAAAATGAAACTATTCTAAAAGAAATCATAAACATTATTGTTCATTTTATTTATAAAGGAAAATAATTTTAATGACAATTAAAAAGATTGCTTGCTTCAACTGAAGTGTATAAAAAAGTATTCACAAAGTATTATTCTCATAATTGGACATGGGTTGATTTGATTGTTCACTTTTGTTAATTAAAAACTATTGAAATTTTCTTATCGATAAATGCCAAAAAGGGAACAACTGCCTACATTTCAAATGTGGTAAGAAACCCTGTTAAAAGAGCGGTATTTTACTGCAAAATAAATTAAATGTTTTGCTATTCTTTTTTTTTCCATATGCAGAGCGTACCGCCCAAGCCTTGCAAATAGCGCCTCCCCCTTGAATTCTGCCGACAAATTTTCCACTGCTAACATTCCGTATACGCCCCATAAAACTTGAAAATGTCGCCCATTCCTACTGCACCAACCTCCCTTGACTCATTTTTCATATTGAAGGGCGAGCACCTAAGGACCAACCAACAAAGCTAAGCTGACGGCTCCTTAAGTTATGGTTCTTGCCAGATCATCCACTCTACCCACATTCTGAGGAAACTTTTTAGAATTTTGCACTTTTCCTTTTTTTGTGTGCTCATACATATCGCAAACATTTCCTGTCTCTTTTTATTTACATTACCCACCGTGGACGAGGCGACATAAAAGTTGAAAGTTTCCCATAATGTTTATGTGTATATAAGTGTTTGCGGGTGGAATACGTAGTATATAGGGGAACAAAGAGGAGAAATAATTTTTTTCTTTCCTAAGGCTGTATTTCAACGGTATTCGTTTCTTATTTTCCGTTTCGCAGTTCTGACTTTTCATTTTTCATATGCTGACTGCCTCACACACACACTCTCACACGGAAAAGGTCCATTTTCTCTTTCTTTCTTAGGTTCTTCATTTTCCATCTCCCTTGCTTTTCTTCGTTACCCAAGTAAATGGCTTTTGCATTGTAAAATGTTGCATACATTTTCCTCTACTTTGCCTTCGATGTATATATACATATATGTCCATGTATAGCTACCATTTACCGTTATACGCAGAGGGAGCAGGACAAAAGAAGCTCACACAAGTTTCGCTCGGTCCTCCCTCTCTCACTCGCACAGTTCTGCCCCTGGTATATTTTAAAATTTATGAAAAATAATATTTTTCCATCTCTCTATGCTCGCACACACACACACACCCAAATATATAGAAGCCCTGAAGGAGTCCTGGGCCGTAAGGCGCACAATCAGAATACAATGGCTGCCTAGGGCTTCCAAAGGGGGTGGTGGGTGGTGGGCGGCGTTGTGTAAATGTACGTGTAGGGAGTGGCGAGGGGCAGTGTGGCACAGTTGGCTCCGCTTGCATTTACGTACAGAGTTGCAGAATAGAGGTGCTTAAAACAGGGTGGCCACCATTTTGGTGGTTGAATTACCGTGGGACCATACAAAATAATTAATAATTCATATTGTATTACAGACATCAATACCAATTTAAAAACTTATAACAATTTCAAATCTTTGAGATTAAAGACATTTCAATATAGTTTTTGTAGACTTCTTTATTACTAATACCCACTTTTTGTTGCCTTATCTGAAATAAGGTTTTGTATGTTATATTAAAATATCTTTTAAAAATTAATTTTTTGATTGTGACTTAAAAAATCATTTTTTGATTTTGATTTAAAAATCATCTTTTCTAACTTCCCAATTTTTTATTCTTTCGAGTTTAATGCCGCTTACGAATTTAAAAATTTAAGCTGTCACTTTCTTAATTCTGTTTAAAAAATATATCTTAAATGTATTTTATTAAATTTAACTTTGACAACCCTGGTCACTCAAGTCAAAAGCATTTCCATTATGATAATATAAGTGCACAATTTTCCCAACTTGAATGCGCACACAGATGCACTCAGTCTGTCTCTTTCCCGTTCCCAGTGCCTCTCTTTCGCACACGGTCCCACACACACACACACACAGCCAGTGTGCAGGACTCGTTCATTGCGCTTGGAAAATTTTCATATCCTGGCTGGTGCTGGTGCACATGAGAGTATGGAACATGAAAAACTGCACAAATGTGCAGAAAATGTTGCAAAACTACATGACCTGAGGGGGTGGCAAGGAAGGAGGTTGTAAGAAGGGAAGACGTGTGCATGGCAACCCGAAAAAAGAGGTCCTGGCTCCAGGACAACGAAGCACTAGCACATAAAATACGATAACTGTGGAGCAAAGTGCTACATATGAAAGGTATTTCTTGGGAGTCCCCCATCGCAACTTTCCCTTCTCCGCCCCCTTTCACCCCCATAAAGTCACTCTACATACACAATC